CAATGTTTGCAAAATAAGTCTAATAAAATTAAAAATTAGAGTGTGAAGCTTGTTCACAATTCATCTAATGTAAATAAAGAGATTTTTGTACGGATCAAAGGCCACTCAGGTCCGTATGCCCAAATAAGCAACGTATTTACTTAATCCGAGAAACATTCCAATGCCATATATGGATTTGTTTCAAATAATGGTTACAAAAAAACAAATAGAATGGCAACTGGCATATACATCTTCGGATAAGGGCATAACATAAAAAAATCTCTTTCCCCCTCGTGAAAACAACGCCATGGTTTTACAAGACGGAAATTAAGTTCTGAAATCAACACAATCCATTGTTTAAGGATAAACCAGGGGATATGTGCTGCATATCTACATAAGATAGGCAATAGAGAACATCCAGTCTATCTTGAGCGCGGGGTAAAAACAAAAAAGATAATACATTATTATGAATTATTATTCATTGTCAAAAATATAAACCTGATAGATAAATCGTGTACTAACATTTGCAGAAGAATAATATCGATGTCCTTCTCAGTGAAGTGCGGGTTAAAGTATATAACTGTTTTATAATATGAAATGTTTTTCATCTAATTACAAGGCTGTATGATTTTTTTAATGAGAAAAAACTCTGTTAGCACTTTACAAAACAATATAAATACATCTAACTATAAGTGAGACCCCAGATATTATATATTTTTTAAAGTATTAGACAAAATAAGCCAGAAAATTAATTATGGACCATTTGGCTTACTTCCACTGATGTCAAAAGTGTTTAAAAAACTTTTCACACATTATAACGAACACTTGTTAATTTAGATAGGAATCTCTTCATTCAGCTCCTGAGCATGACTGTTTAGTGCTATGATGTGATTACGAAGAAAAAAATTGCAGAAGAGAATCTTAGATCTCTTTCTTGACACTGAAAAAATTTGGGTCAGTAGTCAAACTTAAAACACAACTCCCTAAGACTCTTATCTGTCATCTATATCTGGTGTACGTACACGACTAACCAGAACCAGCAGTTAACTCAGAAAAATTGCTCAATTGGCTGATGAAGTGATAATAACATCTAAAGGATTAAGCAGCGGTCAGGCTGCTACGTTGCAGGAAATGATTAGCAAAATTGAAGAATGGTATGATAATTGGAGAATTAAGTTCAATAATCAAAATTCATTCTAGTGTAATATAAGTACATAAAAGATAATTTTATTCCCTTAATTTTATTCTATATGGATGAGAACCAGTTTTAGTTGAACAAGAAAACAAGAACAACAATGTACCCTCTTAAATATTTCCTGATGTGACCCGTTTTCCCTCAGCACATTAAAAACCTGATCTACGTACATAAGGTTGTTACATCCGATCTTATGTTTCAGTGACACAGATCAAAAGATTGTGCAAAATTGCGTACTATACTTGGTACACTATACTTGGTAAGTGAGAAATACATAGTACCATTCACATATGCTCGAAATGAAGTTTAAAAGTCACTTATGGACGACTTATATCACACCCCAACCACTTGTTTACAAAGGGAAAGATAGGAGGCTAGGAGACTGATACGTTAAAAAACAATTTTCAACGAAGTGATAGAGATGATGTTCTCCATGCTTAATGTCCTTAGTTAATAGTAACGTAATTATCTAAACTGCAATGTACAACATACAAAAAATTATTTACAAACGATAATAATGCATTTCAGTTATCCTATTTGTTAGATAATTGTAGATATGAGCTCAAGTTAATGTGGCCACATTAATATCATTCATTTGTAAACAAATTATTGGTCCCTTGTGATTAAGGAATTATGCAATAGATTTGTTGAGTTTCCTGAAGGTTGTTTACTACATTTTGTTTGTCCTCTAAACGTTCGGCCTGCTCTTTGTGCCTCTCTGTTGGCTTTCACCTTTTTTGGCTCGAAACAACATCTATAATAATTGTTGGCAACGACACGCAACACCCCTGGAGAGTCAAAAGGGATCTTAAATTTAAAAAAATTATATATACAAATCTCGCCTTTTCACGTCGAATCAATTATCTCTTTCAAAAGCAGACTATTCAAAGCTTCCTTTTTGCTCTTAAAATACAAGCCAGCAAAACAATTTTACTCCAAGGCTTTTTTTATCTTTCTCATTGTGGTGTTAATCAAGAGCCAAGTTGTGTTCTTTCATATCCTCGTTAAACTAACACCTTACACTCTCACTAATTATCTTTGTGAGGAAATCAATTTAACTTTTTTTATTGTCTTATTCTTGATCACTATGAACAAGCAGGATAAAATAATAATAATGTACGAGTTGCTTGAGCGATGAATTAAGCAACAAACAAACGAAGAATTTCTTTTAGGGATATAAATGTAACACAAATTTACCTAATGATAGGTTTTATGTAAAATCAGCCCAAACTTTAGACGAGTTTTATATAGAGTAATATGTGTATAGTTGCGTTTCGGCATTTCTCGTTAATATTGTAGATGATCGGTTCAAATTGTGCAAACTTATAAAAGATCTAATATAATGCCAGCTGGTGAATGCATCCAAAATCAACAAAATCTGGGGAAACACAACAACCTGATATATTGGGTACCACAACTTAAAGGAATTTTGGGTAACGAATAAGCAGACACGCTGGATCCGCCAGAGGAGGATCTGCAAGGTCTTAATATATAGGCCCTGAACCTACTCTTGGGTTAAAAAAACAAAACAACAACAAACAAACACAGAATAGAGAAGGATGATAGGACAGTCAATGACGTAGTACTTCTTAGAGAAGGATCGAGTCGATTGCACTGAACTACTTGGTAAGTACAACAGGCCAGAAGGCTGCAGTGCTTGGGAAACAAAAACCCCACTTCCTAGTATCCATCATAATTATCATCACCATCGAAAAGCTTTGTCACTTTAAAACTGTATTAATAAAAATACCCCCTGAACCCTATACATTAAATGAACTCTTAGACGCTCCATTTTTTGTATCTGATTTCCTGACGGTTCGCAATAAGTATATAGCTTATATTGTATTACATATATACATATAAAGTATTACTACCTTTAAATGTTATAAGTGTTTTTTCTTTCTTAATGAGGGTTTTCAACTACGAGGTAATATAAACGCCTCGGGGTGCCGGTGTTTTTGAAAACCTATTTTTTTCTTTCTATAACGAGGGTTCGCAACAGGAGAGGTCATATAAACCCTCAGGGTGCCAGTGTTTTTGAAAAAAAGCTCATTTGTTAGTATGTCGGGTTCGAATGCAGGGCCGCTGGATTCGAACCCGGGACCTTTACCTTACAGTGATGAGCGCCGTGTCAACGCCTAAACCGTTGTGACCTCCGACGCCTCGACGCCTCCTGAAAAACTTATTCTTGGGATAACAACAACAACCATAATCCTTCATCACAGAATGGAACCAAAAAAGCAAAATGAGAAGTGGATAAACTTTAGAGGTACTAGACAAAGTAAACCTATGCTAAAACAACCCTCACCAAAATCAGCAAACTGCTACAGTTAGAGAGGGCTAATCTCAGAAAAGTGGATAGGACTATTTACCGGTCACTGGCATCTGAGAAAACAGAACAAGGGCATATTCAAAGATGAACCTATTTGTAGATTATGCAATGAAGAAGAAGAAGCCACTCATATCATCTTCGAATGTGAAGCAACCGCTCAAGGGAGACATAACCAGGGGCGCAAAGAAAGCCCAGGAAAAGGACAGTCAATGAACTAGTACTCCTTAAAAGAAGGATCGAGTTAATTGAGCTGAACTAAGGAACTAGGAAAGTGTAAAGTCAGAAGTGCTTGGGAACATAACCCCAATTCCTAGTACCACTATCATCATCACCATAATGCCAAAAACTAGACAGGGCAGACTTTTCGGTTTACTTCAGATGTTAACGTTTTTGTAAATTAACGAACCTCTTTTTTTCATACAACTTTCCAAGTTTTGGCCTCTTAACAAAATCTCGGCTACATACAGACGGCCTGTTTGTTTTACAATTCGTCTCCGTATTTCAAACAGTCGTCAAAGTTAAAAATAAAACAAACAAACTGGTGAAGAAGTTTAAGATTTTTTCTAAACGTTCTATTTGTAATAAAAAAGAAAATTGAGAAATACCTCAAATCTCCCTTTAATTAAAAACACAAATTGCTGTACAAATACATAACAATGTAAAGTGTTACGGAATAATTAATTGATCCGATAAATGTTTTAGAAATTTATACTCGGCAAATTGGTTAATACCCATCAATTTGTTGTCTGATGGCTTTTGTATCAACTTCAGAGTCAATCTTAAGTCAATAATTGACAAAATTGATAGGTACCACTTGTTTCTAAGAAAGCCTCGCTGATCCGGTTCAATGGTGACAAAATATTAAAATTATGTAAACAAAAATTCCGTGTTATTTATGATATTACATTTACATAATTATGAATGTTTTTATCAAAAGTCAACAATCATATTTGGGTATGAAAAACGCATCTTCGCGCTACACGCTTTACATACTTCGAGAAGTCAGTCATTAACTATTAAGGGAAAGTGGGCATGACCCTTTTTAGAAATAAGATTAGATAAAGGCAATTTTGATTTGTTTGAGTTAAAAAAAATGAATGTTTTCTTTAAAAAGGCAGGCCGTGCGAGCAGTGGCAAACAATAGGCCTGAAATAGTGGAATTAATTTAAAAAACACCTGACGGCACTCCAGTCCGAAAGAACCTAGGCCACGATCGTTGAACTACTGGATCGCCGGATGACAAGCGGTAAACTACTCGATTTCGTCCTGTATCGTAATAAACCATGCATCGGACAATTTATACACTTAAATACACGTATATACACGTAAAAACAATCGTACATGTTACTCGAAAACCATTATTCAAGGATGGAGTCTGTATTTACACTGTCAGACATTTGAAAACTGTCGAGGTGACGTTCGACGACGAACAAACGAACACCCGGCGATTAGCCTCGATTAAACTACGAACAGTAAGATGTAATTGTCACTCACATGGCGTACGACGATCCAACAATTGCCCGAGAACGGAATTGACGTGAAAGGTATCATGTCTGGTTCGCGACTGAGTCGTCGTACTCGTGTAAACTGTAGACGTGAACTACATCCGGATAAGCGGGAGGTTCGATTTTCCGACCCCACTCCCGTTCGCTGTAGCCCTCATTCCGACTATCCTGCCTTGCAACTGACCACTATAAAATTAGTTTTTGTTTCTCAATGTATATTTGGTGATTAAAAGATACTAAAGCCTCGTTGACTTATCTAGAAAAAAGTTATGGTATAGAAAATGAAGAGTCATTGTGTGGTTCTTTATTCCTAAATGATCACTGATTTTAAAGAACTATCTCAAGTCTTTGGCACTGCCACCTCTCTGGCCAAAAGGTTGCTCTATATCATTCACATTTCACACAGCAATGAACTAGAAAATCAGTTTGAAGACAGTACTGAATTGCATGACAGAACGACTTGAATTTGGGTATTCCTGGTGCCATGTAATTACAAGAGAAATTCTCCACTTTGCACTTCGTACAGTGCAATCCTGTGCTTTTTTTTCATTTGACCCATCACTATACCACAAATAAGCCCTGGCAATTATTTTTGTAAATTTTGAATATTTAAACACTTATGGGCCAAAGCCCGCATGTCCATCCTGAAGAGGTTGCTGAGGAGCCCCACCTAATTGAAGGGTGGAACTCCTTCTCTCTATATAGATTAAAAGATTGTAATTACATGGCAAGAAATTCTCCACTTTGCACTTTGTACTGGACAATCCTGTGCTTTTTTCATTTGACCCATCAGTATACCACAAATAAGCCCCAGCAATTATTTTTGTAAATTTTGAATATTTAGTCACTTTTGGGCCCATAGCCTGCGAATGTGCCATGAAGAGGTTGCTCGAGGTGTCCCACCTAATTGAAGGATGCAACTCCTTCGCTCTGTATAGATTAAATGTTACCCAATAAATAAAAAACAAAACTAAATTTATTACACAATATTTACATAAGACAATATGTACATATGCACTACTATTTTGTAATTTGGTTAATCCTTAGAACCGAATTTAAAATCCATTGGTTTGTCATAACCCATTATCTTTTTATAATGATTAACATCAGTAAAAAACCTAGCATCCATGAAAAGTGGAATCCCTCTAACAGTCAATGAAGTGAACATCCCTGGAACGTCGGGAACAACAACTTCATCCGGTTTGAAAGTGACCTGAAACATAAACTGCTATTAAAATACAAAAATATACATTATAATTAATTGAATGTATATGCTTACATTTTTTCGCCTTAAGAAAAGAGTGTAAACAGTAGCCGTATAACTGTCCTCCTTACTACTGTATGTTATATTCAAGACATATTTTCTTGTTACCAAATGAAGTAATAAAGGTGTAACAAAAGTGAAAAACCCGACAAAACTGCAGACTCCGACTATACTTGCTGTACTGGCTTCAAGTTCTGCTGCCCTCTGGAAAATAACCGGCTGAACAAGTAAGCCACCAACACTTGTAGCTAAAGAAAATAATTTGACAGAATGAATCTGCCTCTTCAGTGGACCATTGTAAACATTGTCCTCTTCACTAAGAGAATGGCAATATTTTATTAAAGGCAATGGCGTGGGTATTTTCTGAAACAGAATTTCAACAAAAATTAGTTGTGTATTTCTAAATGTTTTCTTCTACATTCTAAACTTTCTAAATGTGAATCTACTTTTAATTTATTGTTTAAAAATTAAGACCTATACTAATTTTATTTTATTACTACTAGCTTGATTGGAATTAGCCAAAGAAGGATATAATCCAAAGCTAGACAATACCCCTACAAAGATTGCTCACTCCATATTGACTAACCCTAAACTGCTGAAAGAGAACAACTAATTTTGCCAACTAGACTCCATAGAATAAATAACTGCTTCTAACTGACTAGCCCATTCTCATATCAACCACTGCATGGTAACTAGTGACTACCCTTTGTGTAGCTACTTGCAAACCTCCTCAGAGGGTTCTACGCAGGGCTTTATTCCCATGGCAGCTATTGGGTTGTCCGGAAAATAATGCAGGATTTTAAGTTTTCATTAAAAAAAAATCTATATAAAATATTCTGTTTACGTTTACAGGATTACTCATTTGTATGAATGTCAACACTTATTAATCCTCTTCCAAATGATATTGTTTGTTTACCTCTGTAGCATTCCGCTACTTGGAAATAATTCAGTCATCCTTATAATGTCAAAGCAAGAATTTCGTACGATTTTCTTTTACGAGTTTAAACTCGGCCGAAGCGGAGCCCAAACGGCTAGAAACATTAACCAAGTCTGGGGCGAGGGTTGTGTTAATGAGTGCACTGTGCAAAGGTGGTTTAAAAAATTTCGGGAGGGAGATTTCAGCCTTGAAGATGAAGAAGGTCGTGGAAGGCCTTCCTCTCTTAATGATGATGTTCTGCGATCAGTGGTGGGTGCAGAGCAACTCAAAGTCAGTAAAACGACCGTCGCTGACCACCTCAAGGCGATTGGAAAAGTGAAAAAACTCGAAAATTGGGTTCCACACTCATTAAACGATCGCCAAAAAAATCAGCGCTTTGATGTTTGTGCATCACTTCTTTGTCGAAACAAAAATGACCCATTTCTGGCCAGAATTGTTACATGTGACGAAAAGTGGATTCTCTACGATAACACTAGACGTTCTGGACAGTGGCTCGACAAAGGAGAAGCTCCAATACATTTTCCAAAGCCCCCAACTCATCAAAAAAAGGTAATGGTTACGGTATGGTGGGCTTCATTTGGTTTAATACACTACAGCTTCTTAAATCCTGGCGAAACCATCAATGCTGAATCATACTGTAACCAAATTAATACCATGCATCAGAAATTGGCAGTAATGAAGCCCTCTTTGGTCAATCGGAAAGGGCCCATTTTGTTGCATGACAACGCTCGACCACATGTGTCACGTGTAACGTCACAAAAATTATTGGAGCTTGGCTATGAAACTTTGCCTCACCCACCCTACTCTCCGGACCTCTCGCCTACTGACTACCATTTTTTTAGACACCTGGACCACTACTTACAACACATAATATTCAAAAATCAAACGGAACTGGAAAATGCATTTATTGACTTTATCAATTCTAAAAATTCTGAATTCTACTCAGACGGTATTAATAAGTTACCAACACGTTGGGAGAAATGTATTGAGAGTATGGGAAATTATTTTGATTAAAGAACATTGCTTTAAAGTAACTAGTTTCTTTTTTTTTGTTTAATACCAAAATCCTGCATTATTTTCCGGACAACCCAATACTTTGCATTTCTTCACCACTGCATTTCTCGAGCGTCCAAAGAAGACACAAAACTTGTCACTTCGATTTTTATACATCCTAATTCTAATTATTCAATACAGTTAATACGACAATCTGTACACAATTATCAATTAGTTACACAATTAATTAGCTATACAAAGAAATAAGTCTTCTCCCTAATACAATTACTGAAGGAATTACTGACTCTCTTGGCTAATCCGTTTATTGCCAAGAATCCATATGATTATATAATATTTAAATATTGGTGAAAAAGAAGAAAAAGTAACAGTTGTTTGTCAAATGTTGATAATAAATCACTTAGGAATAATGCTGGGAAAACCAAAACTGAACAGTGTAAAAGTTTATTTATTGGCTGTGATATCTTTGTACGTTTATTTTAATCTAAAATTTATATCAGCTCTCAGCTTGTAGACTCCCAGAAGTATTTTGGGATGTACAAGGTAGCCATAAAAGAAATCCAACCACTGAAACCAGGCCTACTAAATAATGCCTCGATGAGCTCTCACTGACTACTTTATCTATCTAGTAGCATTTAAGGAACAACTTCTGATCTGTGTTCAATCATCAATGTATCGGTCAGCTGTTAGGGAACCCTTGATGAAGTTTGTGCGGCCTTCCATAGAAATGCCTGCCCAAACTATAACACCATCTCCATAGCTTCTCCAGAGTGAAAATTTTACAGGGCTAGATTGCTCTCCTGTTCTTCTCCAAACCTCTCTCAGCTGTCAGAAGACCTCAAACAAAACCTTGGCTCATCCAAAAACAAGATTTTAGCCCAATCTTGCTTAGACCAATTGATGATTCCTTGCGAAACTTAACCGACCTGTTCTGTGCCTTGACAGAAGTTCTAGTATCAGTGGCAGGCCTCCTCACTCGAATCTAGCTTCTGAAAGTCTTCACCTTACAGTGTATAAACTGACATTAACATATCTAACTTGTTGAATTCGCTGTTTGATCTCAGCAGCTGTAGAATGTCGATTAAGGAGTTCATTCAAAATAATAAAACGATCATCTCTCTGTGATGTGACACGATAGCAACCTGATCCATGCCTTCTTGTATAACCTACAGTATCTCGGTAGCGATGGAAGACCATTTGGACAGTTGTTCAGGAAATGTTAAGCACCCTGTCCATATATGCTTGACTTCTTCCGTCTTCCAACAATGCCATGATTCTAGCTGAATCTGTATCACTTAAAACCATCAATCAAACAAATTTGGAACTTAAAAATGGTTCAATAAAAAAATCAAATTACCGAAACGTTAGAAAGAAGCTTTACATAAAAAAAAAACCAACAAAAAAGAGATTGATTTCTGTACAAAATCCAATTGTACAAGTGGGACATTTTGTTTTTTTACCTCTAAACCTTTAAAACGAACCAAATATTGTTGAAAGATAATCAATGGAGGATTGTGTAAGTTGTAATTAACAATATTAAGGACGATCGCTTGCCTCTCAATGTATTAGAGCTTTACCTTCTAGTTTTAATAATATAATTTGTAAATGAATAGTGAAAGACGTCCTATTTGATGTAAAAGAATATTTCAATCTTGTTGAAGTTATATAGGCCTCAACATTAATTTAATCGACTTGGCTGTTTTATTCAAACTTGTAAAATTTATGACAATAAAGTTTGACTTGAATGGTTTATTGTACAGTCCAATAAAGATACCTTAAAATTTTCTAGTATATTTGTCTTTCCATAACACAAGTGTTTAACCGGATAAAATGTCCACCTGACAATCTTGAACATTTTGATTCTCTGGACTTGCACCCGGTAACGCTCACAGATCAGGGGTAAAATATCAACCAAAACTCGAAGTAAAGTTAATGGAAGGTTATTGGTATCACTAGACAAAAATGGATATTTGAATTGAATAAAAAACAATTACAACGACAAAAAATTAGATTTTATAAAAAGTAATTGAATTTTTTTTTACATTTAAATTAGAAGAAAATAATTTTTGTAAAACAAACCTTTTATAATGACTGCAACCTATCGTCTTGTCAATTACTCATGTCAGTTATATTATAATAATTAAAAACACCTTGTAGATAAACTTTTGCGAATATTTATTTAATAGATTAAATTGGTAAAGTGAATAGCAACAATAAAAATTGTTTCGATAGAGTGACTAATAATGGAGTGGAATCGAAAGAGTAGGATCGATTTTATTGAAGGCGAGAGGTTTCCTTTTAATTAAACAGTTGGAAAGGAGGTAACGGCTTTGTTTATCTTTTGTTGAAACATTCGTGTAAAAATGTTAGGCTCGGGTTCCTCGATATTCGGGAAACCTGCTGGAACGTCGACTACGCAGCCTCCGGCGTTCGGCGCGACGACGGGCACCGTGTTCGGAAGCCAGCCGCAGGCCCAACAGCCGTCGCTTTTCGGTTCGACGACCCCGTCTTTCGGCTTCCCGGCCGCGGCGACGACGGCGTCCTCGACTCCCGGGCTCGGCCTCGGGTTCGGCGCCCAGACGGGCTTCAAGCCGGCGGCGACGACCGCCCAGACGACCCAGCCGAGCATCTTCGGAACGGGACTGACGACGAACAAAGGCACGGGTTTCTCGACGCCGGCCGCCCAGCCGACATTGAACTTCGGCCTCGGCTCCAACGCGAACAAGCCGACCGGCTTCACCCTGGGCACGCCCTCGACGGCCACCGCCTCCACCACCGCAGGCGGTCTGACGTTCGGTTTGCCGTCCGCCACTACGACGACGGTCGCCTCGTCCGCACCCTCTCTGAGCATTGGCTTCGGATCGACCGCCACCGCCCCGACTACGACCACTTCTACCTTGAATTTTGGCCTCGGATCTACTTTAACCACTACCACTACGCAATCTGGCCTCAACTTCAGTTTGGGTCCTTCTTTTACGACTTCTTCAATTGGTAAGACAGTTTTATCCGGCACACAAAAATACCTACAATAACTAATTCTTCTGTTTAGGTTTACAAACTACTACACAAGGTTTCAGCCTGGGAACGACCACTGCTACGACTACTCCATCTCTGGGTTTGGGCGCTTTGCCCCAACCTACAACAACCAATCTCGGGTTGAACCCGTTGAGCGCTGCGTCCCATGCGAAATCGCAGAAGCAAGAGTCTTCGAAAGACAGGCCTCTTCCCCCTGAACTTGTCACTCAGGTTGAAGCATTGAGAGAGTTTGTTAAACAACAGAAATCGTACTCTTCAGAAGTCTCGCAAGCTAGTTTAAAGCCCATCCTAAAAGTTGGTGAAGATGCAGACGTTCTCAAAAGGATTACCGTCCAATTGGAAAGAGAACTTGCAAAAAACAGGGTTTTGAACAAAAAACTGAAAACCGATCTTACTAGGAGTATTCAAGACTGTGAAATCGTACAGAGGCTTGCAGCAAACCAGAGAGGATTCCCTTGTGATAATACGATCGCTTTTGATTACTTTCAAAATATTATTTCAAGGTATATACACTTTATTTTATTATTTGGAGATCGTGAGGCATTCTGGTGTGATGTAGGTTTAGAAAAAAATTTCCTTTATCGTGCCAACGTTTCGATCTTTATTGAGATCATCTTCAGGGCCTGGGATTTATAAGCATTGGTTCAATTATAAAATACATGTAAGATGTGAAAACATGAATTTATACAATTCTAGAAATTTTAGATTCAATCAAAGTATTTGTACTTACTGAGTGTTTGTTTTCTGTTGTATGTCATGTTTTTTATTTTTTTGTCATTATTGATGTCTATAATTTTTTGTTTAGGTTCCAAAGCCAAGTGGAAATGCTTTCGTCTGAGCTAAAAGACATGGAAAAACACGTCAGTTGCAGACTCAACCCGGTCCCGTTTACACCTGAGGAGTTGGCAATCTCGATGAAACGCTTGTACGAATGTTTTGTCGCACTGGCCGGAAGGTACCAGGCGATCCATTCCTCCATCACAGCTCTTAAACTCGAAGTCGGGAGAAGGAAAGACATGGGCTAACACAAGCCTGACACTGTTTGCGTCAAATGTGTAAACTATAATTTTTATAATTAAAATAGTAAAATAAATTGTTACACACTGAAAACGGCCGAACTTCATTTTAATATGATTACCGATATGCTGAGCGAATGTTAACATAAACTTTGTTATTGTTCTTTAGTTCTTTTTTTCTTGTCCTTTAGAAACTTTTTATTTAATACATTTTTAAGTTAAGTTTGTAATATGGCCGTGAGGAAACAAAAAGAGACACTCGCATCAGAAACATAAATAGTATTTATTTTTTTGTCATATAAATTTGTACATTTACTAAGTTTAAAATATTTTGTCATTAAACTTTTAAAATCTCACAAAAAATAAACATTTTTACAATGTGAAACAAATTTATGTCTGAATGTATTTTTGTATTTCTTGAAATATAATATTTGTACAATGAATAATTTTGGATAAACTGTACATTTAAAAGTTGAGCAAAACATATATCAACCATTTTATCAAGTCAAAAATAACATTTGAAGTAATTTCAAAATGTCTGGACATCGGATAAGACTGATATAGAGAGGTCGGATAAAGAGTCATCTGAGTATTGGCTAACATTGAACCGTTTCTTTAAAGCCTCCTTCAGCATGTCAGTGGGATCATTTGTAAGTAAGCTCGGTGGCTTCAATGGCCTTCCGCCGGGAGATCTAGAAACAAAATAAAAATAATCACATAAATTATTTGATTACTGATAATTATTGACAAGTGATTGTTCTTATATTTAAAGCCATAACCTGATCTATTGTTTTACCGTTTACCTGAGTGTATCAGTGTAAAAAAAGTATAACTTCAAAAACATTGTTTTAAAAAACTTAAGTTTGTCAATTTATTTGGGCTTTAATGAGTTCACCACATTGGCTATATTGCCATTTCTCTCGGGAAGGCAATAATTTTTTTTCCCTCTTGGGGCATTGATGGCAGTAACGGTTTAGGCATTGACACAGCACTCATCACTGTAAGATAAAGGTCCCAGATATGAATCCAGGAGACCTGTATTTGAACATGGCATATTTAAATGGGCTTTTTTTTTATAATCAATACCCTCATTAGGAAAAGCAAAAGAGGGGGCATCGGTAGCCGCAACAGTTTAGGGCTCATCACTGTAAGGTAAAGGTCCCGGGTTCGAATCCAGCATTTGAACCCAACATACTTACAAATGGGCTTTTTTTCAAAAACACCGGCACCCTGAGGGTTTATATGACCTCTGCTGTTGCGAACCCTCGTAAAAGAAAAAAGAAATCTGGTTGACATGTCTCCAATTTCTGATGTCTCCCGATGCTACATATTTTTGGCCTTGTGTCATTTCATCACTAAATAACTCGAGATTAGATAGGCAGATATTTATTTTATTTAGTACATAATTATAAATTTGAGTGACAGTAGTAGGGGCCACTTTAACTACAACCTGAAAGCCTTTAAATAATTTGAATTGTTGAAAAGAGTTAAAGCGAGGTGTTTGCAAAGTGGGGGGGGGGAAAAAACTCATTTAGCCAGGAGAATTTACAAAATAGATTTTGAGTAAGTAAGCTAATAAATAAAAGATTATGTACCAGAAATTATACGATTATTACAGCAATTAATGGAGTATCACAAATGTCAAAAAAGTCACAGCACTGTCTTGAAGAAAAATGTTCTTTACACGCCGGAGCGCTTAGTAAGGTCATAGGCTCATATTATTCTGCATAGCGCATTCCTGTTGGTAGCACATCTACTGAAGAAGAGTACCGTTCTTGAATACAGAAGCATGGGCTTAATAATGCTGATGTAGATGAGCTTTTCATTAAAAACACTGATCATCGAGTCCCATGATGGTAGAGGAAACAGCATCTAGATAGCAGTTTTTCCACAATCGATTTTATCTGCTACATGCTAGGTGAACGTCATGCTGTTATCCATAGTTAAGCCTAGATATTTTACATGATCTGTCAAGATGAATTAGGATAAGCACCATAAATTTTTTTACACAAATTACGACTCATTTGATACAATGGTTCAGGGGCATGGGTGGCTGCAACCGTTTAGGCGTTGATACGGTGCTCATCACTGTAAGGTAAAGGTCTCCGGGTGTGAATGCAACAGCCTACATTCAAACCAGACGTATTTAAATATTCTTTTTTTAATTTTTTTTTAACACCAGCACCCCGAGGGTTCATATAATCTCCTAGTTGAAATCCTCTCGTTAAGGAAAGGAAAAAAAATAACTTGGTTGACGCATCTCCAATTTATGATGTCCCTCGTTGCAACATATTTTCGACCTTGTGACCATTCTGCACTAAATAACTCATTAGTTATTTATTTGAACGGTTCTCTAACTATTGCAACTACTTTTTCCTGCTTCATGGGAAACATCCCATGGCTCCCGTCTTGATCTGCAACACCCTTCGACATTTTTATTTGTCCAACTGTGTAATTATTGAAGGGGTGTTTCCCTGGTTTGTGAGGAATGTCAATCACTCCCATCTGTCTGTGAGACCCTTCAACTAACCGCTAACAATTGCTAAGTTATGTATTTTTTGGAGGGATTTTAAAAAAATTCTTCCCTCAGTATGTGTAATTGGAAAAGGCATTAAATTGACAGAGAACCCATGCTGAAAGTGTTTTAAAAAGTAAAATAAAATACCTGGCAATCGGTTTTAATTTAGGAAAGCCGTTCTTCATCTCAGTTATAATCGCATCGATGGGCGCTGGTTTCTTTTCAAAACTGTGAGAAGATCGGTTGGCAGATTTTAACACAATCGGGTTTTTATCGTTAAGGAGAAATGTGGGGAGAGGCGGTGGCGGTGGCGGAGGTTGACAAACCGGTTTAGCTTTTTCATTGTTTTTTGATATATCTGGGGGAAAAAAGTATAATATAAAATTTGGTGTTTATTATGGAGATAATAGTCATTTACTTACTCGTTAACTTGTTTTGATTTTCCAAAATTAAAGCAACTTGAGTTTTAAGCAGTTCTAATTCTTCTTCTAATTTTTTAATAGATTTCTGTTCCTCAGGATCTTTTCTATAATCGAAACAAAACAAAATATTTCACTTTTGCATTTATAAATTGGCAATTTTGAAAAAAGTAAATACCTTTGTTGTAAAGTGTTATCCTCAACCTTCACAGGAATGTCATCTTCAGGTAGAGTATTTTGCCTCCATGTAGCAAAATTGAAGCAAACTCTCGGCGCTTTGGGAAGCGGCAAATTTGTACCGATTATCCTGATTAAACTTCTTCTAGATCTGATCTTTCTCTGAGGCCCAAATACTAAATATGGCAGTGTCCTTTGAATATACTGAAATTGACAAAAAAAAGAGCATTGAATTTGAAAGATTTTAAAACCGTTAATATAATAAACTGTTGTTTGAGCTGTGTGATGATTTTTTGCAATACAGTTTAATGCAAATCTGTGATTTGTAACCTGTTGTGTTCTCCCTGTCTAAGAAAACTAGGGATTCTGTCACACGAACTTTTACCTGAGAGTTGGTGGCCGCAATATTGAAGGCTTTAAGGCAGTTAAACTGAAAGGTAAAGGTCTACGATTCGAAAGCAAGGCCATTGCATTGTAGACATAAGATTTACTTGGCTTTTTTCACACACCGGCACCCCAAACGCAATGCACAAATAGTCTATCCATTAAATAATGAAATCTAAGAGTTATTTAGTGTAGAAAAGTTGATGCAGACCCAGATCAACCAGCTGTGAGACACCACAAACTTGGGGTCGCGTCATACAAGTGGGTATGTACATCTTCGCTGGATGTCCATCGGCAAGGGACCAGGAGGGCGCATAATGGAAACTCCCCCAATTCTATTTGACCCAGCAGTTTTTGTTTTTCTTTTCCGGGGTCTGATTGGGAAATCAATATAAAAGGGGATGATTTGGAAAGCAAAGTCAGTCAACTAGAGAACTCAGTTGGTGGATCACAGAGACAGCAAAAGACTGGTTCGAGACACAATGTCGGAAGCAGTGGACAGGAGGATAAACTCAGTCAGCCAGAAGCAGGAGGACTCAATCAGACAGAGTCAGAGACTCATGAGAGCACACAGTCCCCCAAGCATTGGCCATTGTGGTAAGTCAACTGTTGAGGATACAGGGAGTTACAGAAAGTTCCTGGAAGACACTGGATGATGTGGAAGCTGGTATTGGCGAGCAGTGTTTGGGGTAAGTCCTCATGAGTAAGTTCATCCCCGAGTTAGCGTTGTGTCTAACTTGCCTTGATTGTTTGTTACCGTATTAAGATGAGCCAGTTCAACAATAAATGTTTAAAAATCTGGTTTATTGTATTTTTTGAACCCTATCTTATCTTACACAAAAAGTTGTTAGATAAGCGCGTACGCTGACTGTTCATTTATGGCCATTTCCCATAGGCGCCCACTTACAAATTCATTGATTCTTTTTTATCTCTCTATTTTTATTTGCATTTGTTAATTTGTTAAATTAATTTTTTGTTTACAAGAAAAGAATATATTAAGCTGGGTTTCCAATGAACGAAAATCACTCACACGACTGTTTCGCATGTGGATGCTTAGCCGGGATTCTGAAACTTTTGGCATGAAGAAGTTTTGGGGTTAGCCGACCGCTTGTTGGTTTTTTTAGAGCACATCAATGTGAGGACTGCATTCGACTTAGCCAACTGTATCAATGCTATCGATTTTTTTGGATGCTAAACATAAGTCATCACAATAAGAACAAGATAGAGGATGCGTAGTAGGAAATCTGGTGTTTTCTTCATTTGTTTTTATTTTTATTTTTAACATTACGTATTGCCACGATGGAAATGCTGATGCTGCATTAGATGTAGATATGAATGGCATACTTGTCTCGCTCAAACATTATGGCTCACCTTGTTTTACCTCACGGAAATGGTTAACCCAAAACAGCCGTTTAATGAGTGATTCTTGCATTTAGTGATTTTCACGCAATGGCTTCCAATTCCACTACCGGTAATATTTTCTAGAACCAGTAGCCCTAGAATTGGATTTTTTTTAATGAGGGTTCACAACAATAGAAGTCATATCATCCTCAGGGTGATCCCCCCCCAGGACCTTTACCTGACAATGATTTAATTTATTTGTAATCCAACAGAAAAAGTCTATACGAGGAGTAGTCAAAGGAAAAAGAAAGAAGCAGATTATTACAAAAAGGCAATTTAGTATATAACAATAATAACAAAACATGGCTTACAGATTCCTGGCATTGACCTTAACTAAATGCAAGGAATCATGGAATACATCCATTTCATTGAAATTCAGCAATCTCCGTATTCTAGGTAGGGGAGAGTTTAGTCCATATTCTGTCTGCAATGGGACAAAGAACAATTTAGTTTCTTTGTTTAGAGACACACGTGGATATAAATATAAATTTTGGATATCAATTCTGGCATCGTGTCCAATTGGATATAATATTCATATATAATATATCATAATTCTTTGTCCTGTATGGCATAATTGTAGAAGACAACACTACTTACAAGACTATGAATTAACAACCTTGCGCCTATTTACATTTAGTTCCATGCCGTTGCATGAACACCACTCAACAAGATTATTTAGAGATTTTTGCAGTAGCTCAGCCCCATAAATGGAAGTAACAGCGGTATACATCTTCAAGTCATCAGCAAAGGAGGAGAAATTAACTAAGTAAAAATAAGGAGAAATATTGTTAATAAATAAAGTTTAAACTCATAAAACAAAATTATGTGACAATCACTCGTTGACATCTTAGTAAAGACTGAATTATTCCTAAATAACAAAATGGTACTGAGGTAAACAAACATTTTTGTTTGGAAGAGGATTATAAAGTTTAACATTATATCCCACCAAACGTTAACAGTTTATTACAGAGAGGGGTAATTGAACGAAAACTTTCATTATTTTCCAGACAACCAATTTGCAACACCATCCTCGAAAGGAAAGAGGGTTCTGGGCGAAAATCATAGTTTGTTGAGGAAGCTCTGTGAAACTGTTGGGCAGACCCAACAAAAAGTTCTTGAGAATCGGCAAGAGAGCTTAGAGTTATGGTGGACATGGAAAACACGGAGACCATAAACCGTAGACTGTAACTTGGGGAAAATTAATCTCTCCTCATGAGGACCATTGAGCAGGCACGACGCCGAGTAGAAATTTGTCAACAGCGATGAAAAGTGGATATATTGGGGAAACTCCAAGACCAAGAAACAACGGCTAGATTGCAATCAGCCAAACAAGGGAAATTTGACAAAAAGACAATCCTCTTTGTATTTTGGAATGACGAAAGCATAATTTATTATGCATTCATTCTAGAAGGTCGAACCATTGATTCAGAACGGAAGTCGGGTTTCATTTTAACAAGATGATGATCGACCAGACACTTTTCGTAACACGAAACAAAAAATTACAGAAGCGGATGGAATTGAGTGTCTCCCTAACCTTCAGACTACTATCTGTTCTGGCCCATGGCTCATTATCTTCAAGGGAAAACTTTTAATTCTCTAGATGAGGTTCAAAATGGACAAAACACCAAGAGTGGTACTGCGAAGGAATCCAAATTGCAACATCTGGTCTCGAGATGGCAACAAACCAAAGAACACAACTGTTTATTCTTTGAATATTTAAAAATGTCAAAATAAAATTATTTTTAAATTAGTAAGAAAAACGGTCATACTTTGTAACTCGCACTATTATTAAATTAGTACTAAATATACCCCTTAAAAACTATGCTGATTGATGTTAAATGATGACCTTAACCGTTGCGGCCACCATCGCCCTTCGGAGCTTATAAAATTTTTAAAAACCCCCAGCCGGATAAAATAAGTTAACAAATTTATTTTAAATTGTATTTTTGGTTTAATTAATAAGGTTTTAATAGTAAGTTTAAATTAACCCTTGAAAAAAATCGTTTTGTCCGGCGATTTCAAACTTGGGCTAATGGACTCACCTCGAGCAAAATATCGAAGATTATGTTTACCGCCTTGAGGAGAAAAGTCGGCATCGCGGATCCTGTTAAGAAATAAATCGATCGAAGAAATCCAACGTCAAGACAGAAATGGAGAGTTTAATTTTCAAGATCATCGCTGATCACGGTGACATCCCCATTCGAAAAAAAGCACCCCGAAAAGATTGAAACATTCATGTACGACCAATCAAAAAACCTAAACGGTCGCTCGTACTAAAAATCGTACATTTCCAGACAGAACTAAAACCCCGAACTAAAAAACCAAGACCTCCTTAAAACTCGCAGAACTAGAAATAAATTATTTTAAAATTTTATTCGATTTAAACTTGGGTTTTTGTATAATTATAATTAATCAGGCATTTTTTCGAAGTTTATATTTTTTTAAATATATTATTTTTTCGAATTTTCGTTTTTAATTATTTTCATCCTGAAACGAAGCCGGCTGTTATAACATTTCAGTAGGTAACGTACTGCGATTACTCAACAAACAAGTCAGAGGGGAGGCACCGACCTGAAAGTTCAAACTGCATTTAGTCAATCTCGTCATTTTACCTATTTTTACCTATTTCTATATCGTAGTCAATGTCAATACCCCGACTGGGAGTCTACGGTCGAAAATTCCTGGAAAAATAAAGGAATATTTATAAAGCCGTTTCTTTTAGATGTGAAGCGTTGACGAAAGGTTGAAAATCCGAAGAGAAAAGATGGATTTGAACATGTTGTAATTCACGTTTGTATCATTTCTAGTTTGAAGGTAATGAAATTATTTTATTAACCGTCGGAGAAAGGTCGGTTTTGTACTATTTAATACTTTCGAGTAATTTTCATTAATCAATCGTTTTTTTCCTTGCCAGAAATGCAATATGCGTGCTTCATTTCTGAGAAGAATTGATCGAAAAAACTTAATTCATTAAATATTTTTTATTTACACGTCTCTACCATAAATAGTGCTATACTATTCCCAGTCGTACAATATCAAGACAGGACTGGACGTATCTGGCAATATTGTGTTGTCAAGTACAAGTTTTCTCACAGGACTGAATTTTAAATAAACAAAACATATCCCAAAAAATAAATAAATAGACGAAAATAGACCTCATGCTGCTCACATGATGCATGCAGAATGGTCACTAACTGATCTCATGATGAAACATCATAGGGTCACTTAATGGGTACATCTTTATGTGTGGGTTTGTTGGATTACTGCAAGCGAAGTTGGCAAACTGCAGAACTACATGCACGTGAAGATGGACCACATAAGTGACCCAATGCCAGTTCAGCATGAGTTCACCAACTTGCAGACCTACACCCATCATCAAAACTAACTGATCTGTTCAATAGAAAAACGACATTGGCATGTTTTGACAATATTTCATATCTGCAAATAAATTGCACTTTTCATTAGCTGTAACTTTTTTATAAATATGATAATAATCTTAATTTTTTTCTATTTCAGGAAAGATGGATATTTTAATAAAGGATTTACGGCCTGGGATGAAGAACATGAATTTGACAGTGATAGTTTTAGATGTTGGTAATCCGATTCCTGTAAAAGAGAGAGAAGTTAGGACACTGAAAGTAGCCGATACGAGTGCGTGTATTAATTTGTGTTTGTGGGACGATCCTGGAAGATACCTTTACCCGGGTGATATCGTGCGATTAACTAAAGCTCATGTGAATATGTTTCGAAGCTGCCTTACACTCTATTCCGGAAAAGCGGGCGATATAGACAAGCTAGGTGAATTTTGTATGGTGTTCAACGAGCAGTTGAATATGTCCGAGCCGAATATGAACTTTGACGTTCCGCAGGGTATGGGACAGGGTATGAACAATGGCGGACCCGCGGGGCTCAGCCTGTTGGCGAACAACAACGGCGGCAAAGGAGGGGCGGGTATGCCTCCGGCCGGGCTGATGGGCGCAAAACCACAGGGAAGTAAACTGCCGCCTCAAAGGTCGACTCAAGACCCGCAACCTCTACAAGGGAAAAACCAGCCCAAAGTGAACAATAAAAACTCAAGAGGGCCGATGAAAGGCAATATTGTTAGAACGGAACGTAGGTGACCTCTGTACGAATTAAACTATTAAGTATTCACAGTAAAGTAAAACACCTGAAATCATGTGATTCATCAAAATGACTCGAGTGATAAACTATGTATCTTACATTGAAATACGTGTACCATTTGCAATTACCATGTTTTATCATACTATTAAACTGAATAATTATTTAATTGTACATTTTTATTTTATTTTAAGTTTTTAAATGTAATCAATCATTTTACATAAATAAATTAAGTTCTTTATTTGAAGGAAAATACAGATAGTACAACCCTCGATCTTTACTTGTTCAATACACCTTAAGTAACAATTAAAATTAATTTTTATTATTATGTTCTATAATTATTTGTGTGTACTTGTATGATAAGTTGATAACCAACAATGTTTCTTAAAAAAATTTCTAAATGGTGGTTCCAACAGCAAAGGCCATATAAACCCACAGGGTGTCAGTCCCCCCCCCCATTTGTATGTAAGTCAGGTCCAAAGGCATGACCACTGGATTTGACCCCAGGACCTTATAGTGATGAGCACAGTGTCAACGCCTAAACCATTGTGGCCACGGACCCCTTGTGTTTACTGTTTGAGGTCAGCGAGAAAATGAAAAAGTCACTGCAGCTTCTTCGCTTTTCATCCTGATCTGCCTATTCTTGTAGCATACAAAATCAGCAAGGATAGGTTGCATGCTGAACCAGTATAAGGTCGCCTTTTGGGTCTTTCATCATTCGCTGATGAAGACATAAGCAACCCTAGCTGTTTCAGCTTCAGTTCACTGATTCGTAGGCTTACTTTACTTGATTATTTATTATCAACTAGAGATAAGTCGACCAGGATGATTGAAAATTTGTTTATCATAAAATACTATTTTCAAAAACCAAATATTTATTTAAATTCTTTTGTACAAAGGGTAGTTTCAAAGGCAGCATTTCAAATTGTGTTAATATTTACGATATTACTTAACTATTAACAATTGCAAGCTTACTAGAAAATTAACAATGATTCTAAAAAATAATAATGTATATATATTTGACACTATATCAATAATAAAAGTGTTAGTTTTGCTTCTTTTTTTTTTAGTAAAATATATTTTTATTTAAATGCCATACTTAAAACCTATTGTATTTAATATTAAGTTACTACATAAATTATATATGCAGTAAACTAACATTACTTTTTTGAAATGATGAATCATTACTCAGGGATTTCCAGATTTATTTATGAAAAACTATTATTTAACATTATTTATTTTCTTGAATTAATATAAATAATTGTTAATTTACATTATACGTATAAAAAAATTAATTAAGCACTTGTCTTAGCAGCAGCTTTTGCTAATCCCTGCTGAAACTGGTGGCTTTGAGCTTGAAGCTTTCCCAGCCTCTCTTTGTGAAAATTCATTTTCTTTTCCAGGGAAGTCAGTAGGTCGTCAATCCTTTTACTAACAACAAAATAATGAATGAACAATATTCTGCAAATATGTATAACGTCAATGTGTCAGTAAATACTTACATCTCGACAGTAATGAAGCCCAATCTTTTGTTCACGTTTGACTTGGCCTCATTTACCTCTTGTTTCATTAAGACGGGTCCGATCAATTTATAAACTTCACCGTCCTCTTTCAAAAGATCGAGTTCCTGGACATTTTCATTTTACATTGAGGTAAAATAAATTACAACCAAAATATATTTCAAAGTGATTTACCAGTTTCACACCAGTTGTCTCATGCAGTTGACTCTCCAAGAGCTGTTTTTGAGTCATTGTAGTGTGGTACTCTAGTTAAATAAAAAAATAAAATGATTAATTAATTATAAAATAACAGGAAAGCCACCTTGTTTATAGGACTTCGCAATTTCTGTTTTTGTAGCGTGGGCATACATTCTCTTCGCCACATTTTGAAATAATTAATCCACACATTTTAAAAAAATAAATTAATAAAATAAAAATTAATCACCAATAATTGTGATTTCAAATGATATACAAATAATGATAGCACACATGAAAATTACTTATAATTTTAAAAAAAATTGAATAGACCACGTTTTAAATAATTTTGTAAATGTTTAAATTACTGCAGCCTTGAAAAAAGGGTATTCCACAGGACAAACAAATAATAATGAAACAACTTTATTGTGCAAGAAAAATATGTATTGCTTATAAAAAGCCAACAACAAAAAACATTAAAAACTGATATTATAATAATAATAATGGACAATTAAAAATTTTCAAGTAGTTGGTCTGTATCCAATTGTGGTTGAGTGTCTATCTTGAAATCAAATAGTTCATCATCAGAATGATCACCCAAATTTTCAACTATTTTATTTATTTCCATGATTTCTTTAACTTCGTCTTCAGTAGGTTCTTTTTTGTTTTTATCTGATATATGTTCTTCATCCTCTTGTACATATTTGCTTTCTCGCAACCGATTTTTCCCTGTTTCTGTATACTTTATGAAAAATTCTCTGTTTAAACTGGACAGATAAGGCTTGGCCGCATTCTTCAATTCGGGATAAGGATTGTATAAATCCCTAATGTGATCGGGGAGTTCATCCTCCGTTTTATCTCCCTTAGCCCTAGTGTACAATATATGGCAACGATGCTGAAACGAAGGGTCTCTTCTCAGTAGATTTTTACCTCCGTCTTCCAACAGTTGTGAATCTATATAATCGTCCAAGAGGCTGGTCAGCCGTTCGTCTTTTTCTTGCGGGAGGGGCCTGTAAAGGACAGATCTTACACTGTCTGCAAAAGGGAGTTTAACAAAGTAAAGAGCTTTCCCCAGTTCGTCTGAAACCGGGAGTAGGAGGCCGAGATGAATTTTACCATTGTTTGATAAAATTCTCCTGGCCAATCCGTACTTGTTTTCAACCTGGAGAGCGGATATCAACGCAGAGACTAAAGCGTGCGACCTGGCTGTCCCGTCCGGAACAGCGACATAGACATCTTGCCCTGTCAACATGGCACGATTGATCCTTTCTTTTTTCACAGATCCTAAGTATGAGAAGACCGGTGAGCCGGTTTTTCTCTTCAGAGCATCCTGATCGGCATAGCTTAGGTATACTTTAGTCCCTCCGAATTTTACATATTGGACCACATCAGCCTCATGTTTAACAGCTTTATGAGTGGATTCGGTTTCATTTATATTAGCCGAGCCGGGTTCGTTAATCAAAGGCTTCCTCCACATGATGCGAGTCTCTTCTGTCGTCAACTTCATCCACTTCATAGATATTTTAATTTTCACGCCTATGTCTAAAGTTATTTTGTTTAATCGCTTCATTTTTCTCTTTTTCTCGTAGAATTTGAATTCTTCTTCTGCGTCGTTGAAATTGAGCCAGACGCCTGTTTCGAGTCTGCTCGCGAATTTGAACATCAAAGCTTTATTACCACTTAAAGCGTCAACGTCGGCGTTTTCTTCTTTCACATCGACCCCAATGAAAACGACGTTGATTTTCTCAGCAGCGACGACGTCGACTAAAGAGTCCAGTTTGCCCATAGAGTAAAGTTCTGACAATTGGAAATTTGAGAAAACGACGAGTTGTTTATCACGGAATCTCTTTCCTCTCGTCTCTTCTTTGAGGAAATTCAAGCCGACGACGAATCCCTCGACCCAGTTGCTCTCTTTCACCGACGACATCTCCATGTTTTCCACCTCCTTCAAAAAATCCCAGCTCGGTATGCGCAGCGGGGTCCGTTCCGATATGTTCTTGTAGTCGTTCCCACCTTTGAACAGCCTCGAATCCGAAGTCTCCGACCCGATGGCGATCAAACCGATTTCGTCGGTTTCGTTCGAGAAGAGCTTCCTCAGGACGATTCGCTCCAAGCAGGATTTGGCCCTGTCGAAATAGGTCCTCCCATTATCCGTCAACCCGCTCGTAGAAGAGCTCACATCGAAAACGACTGCCGTAGCTACTTTGTTCGAACCCATCCTTAAAACGGATATAAAATTTCAACTGGAAACGTAAACATGAAGAATTTCTCCAAGTACGGAACCAGATCTGAAACCTCGCGGTTCTTTCTCGTCTTCGCCGCTAGTGCAGTAGACGGTGCCTGCGCCCTATGCCCTGCAGAACACCACAGTGTACAAAGGTACCAACTACTAAAAACGCCTTGCCGCCCATTGTTCAGTTCGACCAGACCAATTTTTAAATAATAATAATAATAATAGGGTGAGTCATAAAAAATTACTTTTTTCTTGCTAATTTAAAAATAAATTTTGACATATTATATATATTTTTTTAAATAAATAGGGATATTTTTAATTTATTTTTATTTATTAACTTTAATTAAGTTAACTAATATATTCTTGTTGGTTGGATAAAACAGAAAAGAAAATACACACCAAAAACAAACAAATGTTAATCCTTATTTTTAATAACGGATTTAAATAAGAATGGAAAACATGAGGAGTACTCATTTAGTAAACAAAGTCCTTTTCTTGTATTTTTTCCATTTTAATCCAATTGTATTCTCTTTAATCGTGGAAAGATATCACCTCGAAGAAGTTCACAAATATTATTGTGAGAAGGAGTCATCTAGGTCACAAGCAAATGGATATCGCAGAGGCAGTTGGCGTTTCTCAAAGCCTGGTCTCCAGGCTTTAGCCCAATTCCGAGAGGTAGTGGATCTCAGTGTATTACGACGCCAAGGAGGACAGAAATATTGTCCCTGCTGCAAGACGGAACCCTTTCCATAGTTCTAGACAGATCCTAAATGAAGTACAAGTTTGTTTGCAAGGACTTAGTCAACACAAATGATTTTTAATCATTTATGGGAAGTTGGCCTCACATTGTATGCTCTTTGAGAAGACCTGCAGCAACAGCCCGCCACCAGCAACTCAAGAGAACACCAATTGTTATGATTACTGATGAGTCGGGGTTTCTGTCTGTGTAGTGATAGCAGGTGTCGAAGAGTCTACCGAGAACAGGGGTTGCACACAATGCGCCAGTTCGTGCTCCCTTCAGTGCAATTTGGAGGAGGCGGTGTAAAAGTCTGGGCTAGGATTAAATTGGTGGATGAACTGGACAATATTGTTGAAGGCAGTTTCACCACCCAATTCAATCCGATTCTGTAATTTTTTGTTTCGCATATAAGAAGTGTATGGGCAAATCAAATTTTAGGTTTTTACATAGAACTACAAAAAAATGTAAAGATGCAGAAACAATGATTATACTAATCCGTATAAGTTTAGCAGTCATAATTTACCATATTAATTATTTAAATTAATTATTCTTTTTATCTAAGGTCTTGGTTGAGATGAAAAAGTTAGTGTCACGAACAGGATTGAAACTCATGACCTGGATATTAATTAATCCTGGCTAATGCTGCGTCAAATTCTCGTATGTGTGGACACTTTGAGTTCGGCTATTTAATATTTGTGACCTTCGGCTCAATACACTGCTGCTTTAACCACTTGAACTATTGTGACTTCGAATCCCATCGGGATACTTTTTCATCTCAACCAAAACCTTAGATACAAAGAATAATTAATTTAAATAATTAATAATAATAATCATTATCAATTATGCCCGCTAAACTTATATGGATGAATATAATGATTACAGAAGGGATCACTTTTCTAACCTCGTAGCCACTTCATAAGTCGCTGAGAATCGAATTATGATTGCATGACATTTGAAATTGGCAAAAAGAAGGAAAATTCGAAAGGTAAGTTGAGATGAGGAGTCGGTGTCCATGTGGATGGCTATGTGGCTATGGAGTCACGATAGCTGAAGTGGTTAGAGCAGCGGGGTATTAAGCTGAAGGTCATGTGCGGTCATCCCACTAGTTACACTAACTTTTTATCTCAAATAAGTCCTATTGTAGAACTAGAGCATTAAGTGATTTATAATTTTATGTAAAGTGTGGTTGAGATGAAAATATTAGTGTCACGAGTGGGACCCAAACCTACAATCTTCGGCTTAATACACCGCTACTCTAGCCACTGAGCTACTTGGAGTTGGTGTCCATAAGGATCAATGTTACAATGTCAATAGCTTAAGTGGCACTTGTAACACTAATCTTTTCATCTCAACCACACTGTACATAAGATTACAAATAAAAAGAATAATTAACTGAAATGATTATAATGTTTTGTTGCATACACTGACTAATTTTGATGAGATTTTTTTTTACATGACAAAGCTTTAAGGCTTGGCTATCCAATCATATGAGAATTTTTTGTCAGTATAACCTCTTTTAAGATTTTCTAAGGCACAAGCATACATATTTCAGCTTGAAAGACCGATGTACTTCCCTCATGAGTTTGAGCACAAAAAACACTCAATCCGGTTCCTTAGTTTGCTTCAGAGCCATCTTTATCATTATATTTGATGTTGCCCTGAATTCTTCTTCTCCTTTGTTGAGACTTTAAAGTGTTGTTGTCATGAAGTCAGTCACCATTTCTAAGAATGGATGTCTCATTTTATTCGATCGGGTTGTGTTCATGAAATGTTTAGTTCCTATCCACTTTGATTGTTTCTGAAACTAAATGAGCTTTTCTCTTATCTCCTTGAAGATAGGTTGACTTGTGGGCATATGTGGGTGAAGGGTTATTTCTTACTACATTACTTATTATTAATATACGTTTTTATTAATAGTTAAAACCCATAATGTTTATTAAAGATTTAAATCTATTTGCGGAAATTTTTCGACGAAATGTGTGAAATTACTTATTTGCCAAGGAAATCACACTTACCTTTTTCCACGCTTTTGTATTTGTCTAACTCAGCTTGCATCTTGGACTGGAGCTCTTCGTCCATCTTTGAGTCAATATTCTTTCGACAAGTAAAAACTTAAAATGATTTTATTTCTTTTTTGAAAACGCGTAGAGTAATTTAAGTAAAGGTGCTTTTTTGCGTTCAGTTCCAACTACGGTTTCACTCTGGGACAAGCACGCAGAAAACCGTGTTGTTACCTACCGAGTGCCGACCCTGCAGTCCTAGGTCGTACTGCTTGATAGGATATCAGTGTAATATAATTTTAAAAAAATCTCTGATTTCATTTTCATATTTATTTTAAGATAGTCAAAAATGAGTTGGATTAATTTGCTATCGCCGTCGCAATTGTTTTCCTCATCAAAAAGCATATTCAACCAGTTCAATGCTATAGCAGCGAACGGTAAGTAATATTTAATTTATAAAACTTTATTTCGATTGAATTTGCTTGACCAGTTTTAAAAATGTGGATGATTGATTGAAATACTTTTTATTTTAAAAAATAGCACACATACAAATCACATTTTGAATGGTACACAAAGTATAATGTCATGGCTTCCGCCTTCCAGTTTGCCATTAAAAAAAGAAATATTCACTAACACAAAATATTAATAGTAACTATGAAGTACAATAGTAAGGAAAAAAAAGAGGAAGAATTGAAGTTCTAAAAGAAGAAGCTGCACAATTTCATGCCAAGCTAGTTGTTGGACTATCATCAGAGCTGTACAGACTTTAAATTTAACAGTTTTAAATGGAAAGTGTAATATTTTCCCAGAATTCCGTCACACAGTGAGTGTTCTGTTCTGACTTTTGGCCTCTTTCTTGTTTTTGGCATCTATAATATCCCCATTTTGCACATAAATAATATAAGTTCTGTTTCTCCTAAGATTCAAGAAGTAAAGAGTAAAGACCATGGTGATGCACTTTTCCCCACTGGACAAATTCCCCTCTGAGAATCCTACCCTGGTACAGTAACAGGCAAAAATTCCATTCAATCTTGATAAAAGAAAATTCTGCCCTTAATTTGTCTCATTGTTTTTACCAATAAATATTTGTTTATGCTATTTTTTAAATTGGGAATATCAATTAGAGGTAGACAGTTAATCCTTAATTCAAAGCAAGTGTACAAGTGTAATTTTCAGTGTTTACTTTTATGGAATTTAAAATGTTTATTTAGTCTCATTTGAATTCTGAAGTAGTAAATTGTTTAGTTTTCATCTTTGTGTTCTTAATTTCAATTTTTAAACTTAAAAATGCCACTTAATGCTGAGGATGTTGTGTGTGGTGTGGCACTTATTGATGATGGATGTTCCATCAGGTATGCGGCCATTGCCATCGGAGTTCCCTACACGTTTTCGAGAAACTCGGTCCTACCATAGAAGGCGCAGTACTGTATGCCCGAGAGTAACAGAACCACAGGATGGCCGTTTTTTGACTGAGAATTTTGCGAAACCTGTACCTTACCAGTTCAAGCGATTCATCAGCTCCAGGAAGTTCGAGGGGTCCAAATTTCTGAACAGACTGCTCAAAGAAGTTTAAATCAGTATGTACTGATGGATTTTTGCCCCGTAAGAGAACCAGAATTGACCAGAACACATAGAATTACATGGCTAACATTTGCTCGAGAACACAGCCATTGGTCTTTGGAGATTGGTCTGCTGTAGTTTTTACAGATGAGTGTAGATTTGCTCTAAGATCTCCAGGTGGACATGATAGAGTGTGAAGACAAAATGAAAGGTACGGAGCCTGTAATTTTTCAGCTTAGATCAGTGATGGTGTGGCTTGAATTTCAAAGGAGTTGCACAGAGTTGGTTGTTGTACATGGAGGGTCTTTGACATCCACTCGCTATGTGGATGAAATTTGGAACATTGTGATGAAATCAGCGACAATCCTATTCTAGTCCCAAATTTTGTCCTTTTTTTTCATTTTCCTTAGCAATTTACTTTTTTAGACAGACTCAATTATTAAAGTTAACAAATGTGAAACTTTGATTAATATATAAAAATATATACAAATCAAGTTATATTACAAGGGTGGAATTTTTGCCTGCCAGTATATATAAATGAAGGGTTGTAATGAGCAGTCGAGTCTATTTTCCGTAAGCCTATTTGCTAAGGCAGCGCTTTTCAAACTTTTTAACGAGCAGACCCTTTCACAGAACAAAGTCCGGGCGGACCCCTCAGATTCAAGCATTTAAAATTAAACACTTATAGTATATGAAGTAAATTAAAATTTTATAAATTAGTATTAGCTAGCCCATCCCTAATTAGGTGATGAAGAGGGATGTCACTATGAAAACAAGCATTAGATTGATATCACTTTATTCATAAAATCTGGAACACAAAAATTAAATCGGACAGAACCAATAGCTATGTAAAACTCAAGCCAAATTCAAAAGTAATAATTTGAACATTAATTATTAATGAATTAATAGGAAGGTTGTTTTAGCTTCCATAATTTGGATATGTTAGGCTTAATTGTTGATAGCTGGACACCGATGTCAAGCTCAAAATCTAGACAGTGTTCGGTGTTTAGTTTTGGTGGCTGTGTAGACGGAAAATCCAGTTTCGCATAAGGCCTAGTACGCACTGGGATTCTTTGAGTCCACTCTGTATCTCCGGGCTGCACTGACTCATTGTGGCAATGAAGCTGGTGTGTTGCGGGCTAGCATTTTTGGACTTTTGAATCCCATCCGATTTGGGATTCTTTGACTCAATGTTGAACATTTGCCAGTGCAGACGTGAATCGGAACAAACGCACTTGCTTCATTTGTTTAGTTGATAGTCTAATGAGTGTTTTCTTGAAAACTTTGATAGTGTCTTGTATAAAGGTGTGTTGTGGAGTACCGAGATGACATTACAGTTTATCGAAGACATGCATTCCCATCGGTGTTTGTGGGATGTATCATTCACAGAATACAGAAATCGGGAATTGAAAAAGCCCCAAAAAGGAAAGTTTAGCCCAAAAATTCAGTGTTTCTGTCGCCGAAATTGAAAAAAAAAAAAAAAATACACACTTTAAAAGGACAGTTCCGTTTGTTTTGAAATCCTGAAGGTGTCTCCTCTCGCTAGGAACCGGAGAGTGACAGCTAATCTGTTGGCCGGAAAGATAGATTCCCAAAAGTTGGTATCTTTCTTGGAAATTTGACCGCCAACTTTCATTAAAATGATTTCAAAATCGGTCGGGGACATCTTCAAAAAATTCTGAACCCTGCACCATCATTTAATCAAAAGTCTCTCTCTGTCCAAAAGATTTTTCCCGTGCTGTTTCCCGCCGTAAAATATTTGTCGAATCCACCATCTTTTTGGGCGTTTTTTAATGCACTTCCGATTGGATGCACTAATGCAAAAAATAGTAAGGGAAATTCCCGAGAGAGCTAGTTCCTCCGTCATTTTCGCAAGTACTGATGAATGTGAACTGAATCTTGGTCTGGACACGCAGTCAGGGCTGCATCGCAACAATGAATCTACACACCCCCGACTCTGACCCGCAACATGAATCGATTCAAAGAATCTTAGTGCATACTAGGCTTAAGTAAGATGTGGCCAATGGAAGAACACATTTTGCTTTTACAGCAAGCAGTTGAAATTTTGTGTTTTCTAGACAGAGCCAAAAATGGGGCTTTTATCTGACTCAAAAATAAATGGTGGGGTCTTTTGAGATTGGGAACAAATCAGTTGACAAAAGGAATGTTGAGGTCGTTGATAGGGAAATTAGTGATGATGCATTGATAATTTGTCTGATAACTTTTTAATGGGAGGATTGGAAGCACTGGATTTGGATGTCAGAACCCCACAGTTCCACTCTGTATGTCCAAAGTGGTGGCAATAGTCTAGTAGTTTGATGATCAAAATGTATTTGTCCTATAAGTAGTCTTCATAATTATCCAAGACTTCTAACTTGTTTACTCTTAAATTTTGTGTGGGGATTACACGTCACTCTGCTGCCCTGCTGTGGTCCTAAGTAGTTGACTTGAAGTCAGTACCTGGTTTTTTTTTTTTTTTTTTTTTTTTTTTTTTTTTTAATGTGAAGTACACCTAGTACATTTTTCTTTATTCAGTCTTGTCTTCCACATTTCTAACCATTCTTCGATAAGCTCAAGGTATCCTTTGATGTTGGAGTAGATTAAATAAAAAAAGGTCTAAATTTAAATATATTGTTTAATACTGAGTGTATGCATTCTGTACCAATACAAAAATAAAAACCAAACATTCAACCAATTGCAGTGATTTCGACTCGTCTGGCTTCCAAAAAAGCTGGTGGAAGCTCAAAAAACAAGAAGGGCAAGCCGAGACCGAAACATAGAAGAATTCGTTATCAAGATGGAAGATATGTGCAGAAAGGAACAATGCTAGTAACACAAAATACACTTAGATTTCACCCTGGCTTAAATGTATTTATCTAGCCTTTTTAAATTTTGCTTTATCCTCAGATTTTTAACTCTAAATTTATTTCCAGGTTGGCATCGGCAAAAATTTGACTTTGTTCGCTATGGAGGCAGGGAAAGTCTTAGTAACATGCGAAAAAACCAACCTCGACGTTGAACATAGCGTTGTCAAAAGAATGTATGACGGAAGAACGTTGGAAAATTTATATAAAAAGCACTTTCATGTGATACCCGCCGAACAACATTTCAGATTCAAAAGGATTGGCTAAGGTTAATTTAAAATATTAATTTTACATTTAGTATATGGAATAAACACTATTATTATTTATGTTCTATTTCTTTTCTTTTCCTTAAAGCAGTGATTCCTAAACAGGGACACCGCAAAATTTTTCTAGTTTTTCAATTTCAAATTGAAAAGTCAGCAGTTTTGATTATTTATTAAATAAAATTGCAGACAACATGTGAGGAATAGATATATAAATGTTTTTCTGAATTGGAAAGGAAGAAAAACTACTATTAACATAAAAGATTGCCCTGTGATAGACCAATTTTTTTTTTAATTGCTTGCCATGGATAAATGCTTACATATATTAAGGGCTCTAGAAAATGAAAAAGTTTGGGAACCACTGACCTAAATCCTGAAAAAGTTAATAACTGGAAAATGAAATATTTTATTAAATAAAACCAACTTAAGAATTTATATTATATACGTATATATATATTTTTATATTTTTTATTTACATAAATTACACTTATTATTACCATGTTATTTACATAAATTCAGTCTAATGTGCTTAATATAAGCTTCATAAAATATATACATTATTTATATATACTTTTCCCAAGCTTTCTTTTGAACTATCTAATACGCTTGGCACATCATTGGCCATTAAAATTGCCTAAAAATAGAATACATGTTAGCAGCCTGATAAAGTAGTCTAGGAGAGCTAATATAATTACCTAAGCAGGTAAAAGATCAAAGTCATCACTGACATGCACCAAAGGGACGTGGGTTTCGTCTATTACTGGTGTAGCTTTAAGTTCACACATTCCTATCTCTTTCATTTTCCATTCCCAATCCATTTTTTGAATTGCAAGGAGTGAATTGGCCTCGTTGTGATGTCGTACGAGCATATTTTCTTTGATTTTTTCCCATTTGTCGTCTACGTCTTGTAGCCAAGAAAGGAACAGACGGCCATTGTAGCGAGATCTCGCGTTGCGGTCTTTTTCTTCTTGCTCTGGCGTTATTGCTGAATATACTTCTTCGTCCCGGAGAATGGTGCAAGCGGAAAATGGAAGTGACTGGTTTGCTAATGCTCTCGCAGCTCGTCCATGAACTCTCAGTATCTCTTGCTCTACGGATAAGACGAGCTTTTCTTTTTCGATTACATGCTGCAAAAGTGAAAGAAAAAAATTAAGTAATGCGATAACAAAACAAAACAAAAAAATCATTATTACCTGCATAAGTAGACGGTGCCTTTCTTTTTCCTGGGTTATGAAAAGATCTCGGATCCCAGGAGGCAATGAAGCTGGAGGATTTCCTGAAGGTGGAGGGACCCTGTTGTTTGCATTATTAGCTAATACGTATGTACACCGGTTCATCAAATAGTCTTTGAATCCCTGTGGTGGCTTTGGCTGAACTGGGAAAAGACCTTTTCTTTTCCTATCAATCTACATTCAAAGTTAAATTAGTAAGTGCAAAAATGAACGGCCTCATTTTTTATAATCATTATACCTGTTTTCTAATGTTAAGAAAGAGTTCATAACTATTGCTAATTTGGTCATGGTGGAAAACTGTACTATCACTTGTCGAACTATTATTATTTCCTTCACTGCCAGATCCTGATCCACAGTTAGAATTGTTATTATTTGTTGAGTTATTATTAGAAGTATTCGAGGTGTTAGAATTGTTTTCCTTTGGCCTAATTTTCCTTTTCCTTGGATGAAGTTCCTGTGGCGTGACTTGAGGCGGTGGTGGCTGAGATGCAGGAGGCTGCTCTTCAGAAGCAGAAGCGCAAGAATTTTGATTTGAATTGGCTGCATTTGAACCCGACTGACCTTCGCCCAAAAATAAATAAAAACATATAAGATATATAAATAAATAATATAAAAAAAACATAATAACCACTAACTTTGGAGGCAAAAGAAAAAGTAAAAAAAACTGTTTTACTGCACACTATTGGTTAAGAGTTTGTAATATAATTTTATCAACATACCTGTATTGTTTTTCTCCTCTGATTCCCCAGCACCTTCTGAAGTAGCAGGTACTGGTGAGACTTGCTCAGGAGAACCACCTTCAACACCTGCAGGTGAAGAATTGCCCGAACCACCGTTTCCAGCACTCTCTTTGCTTGAACGCCCGGATTCTGAATTTGAGTTTTTCTTCACTCGGTGAGACCTTAGGACCCTTTGATGAGCTCCACGGGTTGATGAAGCTGTCCCAGTGGTAGACGGGGTAGTCTGGGTGTTAGGAGTTTCTTCTCCACTCCCCGCTGATCCACCCCTCTCGGTGTCTTCAGGAGCGGCGGGCGGCGAAGCACCTTCGCTTTCTGTCGATGTTGCCACCACATAGGGAAGATGGTGCCTCCCAGAGCCGGCTTTGCCATTCCTTCCCCCAGCACCTGTCTCTTCCAAAGAGCCGCTGCTTATGACAATTTTCAATGGGGGCACCTTTGGCCCTGGAGACTCTACACTCTTTGCATCCTCCCCTTCACTCTCGACACCAGGAACAGACTTGGGGCTACCACCACTATTACTCCCACTTTTTCCTAAAAACAAACAGATGGTTAAAGTTCAGTTTTTTAACTATTTACAATAGCAGAAATCCACACACAACATATCACCATTGTATGTACATCTCATAAATTTTGCTCATAAACTCGTGTGAAGCAATATTTTTACATGTATTTTCAAATTAAATTAATTTAGAAGTAAAAAAACGAATGGTTTAAAACCTCTAGCACCATGCTAATGATTCAAGAAAAATTTTTGGAGTTTAAAACCAAAAATGGGCTATATAAAGACGTTAACGGAACCCAAAATTACCTATGGATCAATAATCTGGTGGACCAAAGCTCAACAAAATCAAGCTATTTGAACATTAGGCAGCATACAAAGATCAGCAAACCTATGTCTCACAAGGCAAGAAAATAATCCCCTCAATTGCACTAGAAAAATTGCTATATACAGACCTCCATTGGAAACATTTATGCAAGAAGCTAGGGAAACCTCATTTGGGCTCTAGTAACAATCAAACTGGATGGCAATTAAACACTTCAGAAATAAATAGTCTTTTCTACAACAGGCGTTTATTTCGTCAGATGTGTTTCAGTCTAGGATGGACACTATCAAAAAATTGGAAGCTAATAATAAAGAATATACCAAAATGTAGTAGTAGTACTTAGAACTACTTTAAATTTCATAACTTTTTTTAAAAATAAAGTAGTTTGATGGTTTGTTATGTAGTTATAAGTTTAAAATGGGCATCTGGACGACTATGGACTTGGCAAGTAGTCTGTCAACAGCTATTTGGAATGGAACCTTTGTCTTTAGTGAATACCAATATGAAATTATGTTTGGAAGGGAGAGTAGAAAATAATCAGTGTTGGAATTGTAGGATCTAAGGGATAGCGGTCATACACATCAACCTGTAAAATGCATACAAAATCTACAAAAATTGAAACAACAATCTTATATCTTGGGTACCAGGACTCAAAGGAATTTTGAGTAACAAAATGGCAGACTAACTGGCCAGAGGAGGATCTGCCAGACAATATGGTCCTGAACTTCTTCTTAGGATAAGAACACAGAATCCTCCATCAGAAAACAAAAGGAGAAGTGGATAGATTCAAGGGGTTCTAGACACAGTAAACTAATGCTAAAACAATCCTCACCAAGACTCTGAAACTCACTTTAAAAAGAGGACTAAACTCGGAGGAGTGGTAGGACTATTTAGCAGTCAATGGCATCTGAGTAAACATAGGCCATGTAGGAATGATGATCCCATCTGTAGATTATGCAATTAAGAGGAAAAAACAGCCACCCAAATCATCTTTGAATGTGAAGCAACCACTCAGTTGAGACATAACCTGGAATAAATAAAAAACCAAGGGAATGGAATTGCAGCAATGATAGTCAATGAACTTACTCCTTAAAAGAAGGATCAAATCGACAGACTGAACCTATGACTATTTGGAGATCGTGAGATGCAGTCTGGTGTGACGTAGGTTTAGAAAAACATTTTCTTTATCATGCCAACGTTTCAATCTTTATTGAGATCATCTTCAGGGGTCAAAGTGTTTGTTTTCTGTGTAGATATGTCATTATTATGTATCTGTTGAAAGTGCCTGAACTATGTAACTAGGAAAGTACAAGCCTGATGGCTACAGTGCTTGAGGAACATCACCTTACCTCCTGGTCTCTTTTCATCATCATCACAACAATTTCTTGAGAACTTTCAAAATAAAAGAATTATCGCTCACCTCTCGAGCTTTCTTCCTTTCGTCGTTTCTTCTTTCCGTCGTCATCTTCATCCGTGGAATGGGTTCTCTTGAGCGTACCAGGCTCTGCGGGCGATGCCGTCTCGTTACCACCGGACGTTTCCACGTTGTTCTCCTTATCAACATTTCCAGCCTCCTCGCTCGCAGCCTCTTTGCAGCCAGCGGGCTGATCCTCAGCCACCTGTTGACCAGCCTTCCCACCACTATCCATCGCACCACTGTAAACAAAACTAAATCAGTACAGCGCTATTTTCAAACACATTATTTTCAATTTTTCGGTAAGGACTTTAAATTGAGTTTGTTTTGAGTGTATTTTATGGGAATTATTGTTATAGAATTTATTGAATTAGGCTATAAATACAAGGAAGGGAAGCCGATTTAGCAAGTGGTATAGAGTATAACTTGTTTAGGTTAAAGATAAGTAAGAAATGACAGATGTACAAGTTTACCTGTTGAAATCCTCCGATGACATTTGGCCGGCCCCTTTCCCTTTGTCCTTTTTCTCTTTGAGCTGATGGAGCCGCAAGGTGACTCGGGGAGAACCACACTTTTCTAGAAAAAACAATAACACGGTTCAACCTCGTTGTCACAATATAACTCCGTAGGGAGGAGGTTTTCACTCACACTCACACACACTCGATCTTTTTATTCTAACAGTGTAAACAGTACATACTACTCGGCCATTCACCGGTCCCGACTTCCCGAGTCATTACAATTCAGTCCGAATTTCGAAATGCCGAGGAAGAGAAAAGTTCGAGTTTATTATTGTACTTAAGACAACACCAGTTGGACAAAGTAGAGAATAAAGAAACGGACTGGGAAGGGAAAGGTGCGCAGATTCGAGTGCGCAGTTAGCGTGACTTCACTTTATTTTCATCTGTAATTGCAACCAAAGCTGACGAAGCGGTGATAAAATTTTCTTCCGTCAAAAAATTGAATGTCAATATTGACATCAACGGAAAATCAACTACAAAATAAATTTTCACCTAGACGAAGAACTCTGATTAATTAAACAAAAAGGTATGTATTGTAAATATTTATATCAAAAAGTCATAGCGGGAAAGGGAAAATATACTACACCTCCTCGCGTTTGATAATAGGTTGAATATACCTTCATTATTCAGCAGAAATGAAAAGTTTCATGTCTGTTCGAACGGCAACATTCATATTATATTTCATGTTATATTTAGCTTCATATGATTCAGTACTGAATTTTAATAACTCAACTCGTTTCATGTTCAAAGTCTGAGCGACTCAAACACTCATATTATTGCGCAATATTTTGTACTGAATCTCAATATTTGTTGTCCCTTCTGGTTTACGATACGAATTTTAAGATATAACGTTTTTCCAGAACTTACTGAAAATTCTTAGTGACTATACTAATCGCAGGGAGATTTGGATTAATACAGCTCAAATCCGCATTTGTATGGGCCACACATGTGCAGAGTTGAGCCTACCATTTCTCGCAGATCACCAGCCAATCAATCCAAGGCAAGGCAAAAAATTTTTTTTTTTTTAAATTCGCCAGCAGCATTCAGCGATGAATTTCAATATCAACTGAGCCCACTTAGGTTCAAGTGACTTAAGTCAAAATAGACTTGACAATTTAATGAATACTTTTTTTTAACAAAAAGAAAAATCTTGATCAATAATTTCACCAGCAGCATTCAGCGCTGAATTTCAATATTAGCATCAATTGGGCCCACTTAGGTCAAGTGACTTAAGTCAAAATAGACGACAATTTAATGAATACTTTTTTTTAAACAAAATGAAAAATCGTATAGCCTTGACGCATAGACACATAGACCTGATACATTACAATAGGAAAATAATTATCTTTTATTTAACTCAAAACACCACTATTGTATTTTGCCAAATATGTTGAAGTCTAAAGAAAATAATTATTCTTTGATTTATCAACAAAAGATTTCAAATTCATTTCCGCGATTTATTTTTCATGTATCAGCAGAAAAACAACAAAGTGCATTTGTAGGCCAAAGAACTCCCGCTATCAATAAAAATAAACATTTCTTATGAATGCTATGTCAAAAATACAATTCTAAAAGTATCAAAAGTAAGTAAAATTTTTTTTATCCATTTTATTCCACGATCGATTATCTCTCTTCTATAGACATGTCCATCAAACAGGCCATGCTAAAATTAGGTTCATATATTTTCCAGTGTTCAATTCATATACTGACATATGAACAGACAAAATCTCGTGTGTCTTCTCTCGAAGTATAGTCAAGTTTATTTAAATAACTGATTTTTTTTCTTTTTCCACAACTGGATAATAGCTTGGTTTATTCCATGGTATGCTTTCTCGGTTAACATTAGATGTTAATATACAAATCATTTAGAATTTCTTCGACGTGTTAAGCCCGCATATGTAAAGAAAGGTCGATGATCCCACCTAATTTAAAGGTGCAACTCCATGGCTCTGTATAGAGAACGTGTATGAATGCGTCCCGATATGAAATTTGTGCTTGCGCACGGCAGCGAATATCCTGGCTACCTTGTTCCGCTTTTTGGAGGAAACAAGGTTGTTTTATTGTACAGTACTGATAGTTTTGCGTCCCTCGCGTGTGTTGAGAGTGAATGTATTTATTGCCGTGAATGAAGTGAGAGAGAGGCTATGGCGAATGAGTACGGAATATCGAGTACTTCACTGCCCTAAAGGAGTGAATGTTATATAAATGTGAAAAAATGTATTTAAATGAGAGATTTGTTTGGATTTAGAAACTGATTGTGTTGGATTCTGAAATGATCTAGCTGTTGATAGCTCCTGGAGCATCTCGGTAGCCAGAAGACCGAGGTCTGACCCCGGACTGCCAACTCCCAGGGTAGGTGTTCTCCACGTCTGCAGGTCATTTATTGTAAATAACAAAAGCTGAAATTGCCGGTGGACTGTGAGAAGCGATAGGCTCAACTCTGTTCATGTGTGTATATATGTACATACATGTGCAGTTTTGAGCTTATATAAATCCAAATAATGATATCTTCTGCATATCGATTTTGAAGTGCATCTACGTCCTTTGATATTTTGAAAATGGACGACCTTTTTGTTATTATTATTTTTTTTTTTTTTATAAAGAAGGTGGAATTTTTATCGATAAGCATTAGACACACTGCCGTTTCTATCCTGGAAGATTTCTGTGTTGAATTTCAATATTGAAATCTGACAGGTCTATCAGCTAGAAAGCATGTTTAATTTGGATGTCAATTGGAAATTTTTACTTTAAACTACATATAATAATAACTTGAGCTCCTAAAATAATGACAAAAATTTGTTGAATTCGTGAGGAGCCCTTTACGGGCAACTGGTCACAAAAAAAACGCACAGAGACAAAATATTTAAATCTCTGATACAGCTTGCTTTCCATAAGCTTTATTCGAGCTGGAAGTGCGACGATAAGAATAAAATGATTTATTACTTTTTTATTATTTTAAACGATGAAAACTAAAGTACATTTCTTGATTAACTTTTGTAACGCATACGACTTACGACATTACGACCTTAAGTAATAAGGTTTATTTTTTTAGTATAAAAATATTCAAAATTGTACCTCTATAAAGTTAAAACTTATTCTTATCAGTATCATAAGTAGATTCAATTCATACAATATACACGTACAGTATATACAGAGTACATATACAGTATAAATTTTACAATGATGAAGATTTTGCTATTTTTTATTTCAAACTGTGTATCCCAAATGGAAAATAAATATGCATAAATTTCAGTTGAAATCTGAATATACACAAATTATAAGCCTTCTGTCTAAGTCAACGACCATTGTATAAACGATATAACTTTTAAAGCTCCCCCCTTTTGTTTTTCTCTTTTTCCACCTTCACTCGAATATTCTGATTTATTCATTACACAATGGATTTTATACATTACGTCCATCAGAAAAGAAATGTTTAATTTTTTATTCATTTAAAAACAGACAAAACCTAGCGCTAGTAAGCTTATGTTAAAACAGCTCTCACTAAGACAAGCAAACTCATTCTCTAGCTCTAAACTCAGAAGTATACAATAGGGTTTATTCAATGATGATACCATTTGAAGATTACGCAATGGGGAGGAAGAAACAGCCTCCCATGTCATCTTCCAATCTGAAGCAACCGCTTAAATGTACAAAGACCTCTACCACAGAAGTTAAGTCGTGGCATTTTTCCCCTGTTATTCTCCTTTGGGGTTTTTAAATACCTTCTTTAAATATGCAGATCAAGACCTATCCGTGCTGAAGTTATTCACAACCAATGCAGATTCGCGGTACGTAAAATAAGACTCTTAAAAAAAACTAAATTTCAAATTACTTTTCCATTCCCTTATTGGAATTCTTATTGGGAGCATGGGCGACGATACTTATATTTACTCAACTAAGCTAAATAGATATTCACTTCAATATTAATAATAATAATTTAAAAAAAAACGAAAACGTATAATAAATCCCGTCTTCCAATGAATAATCTTGATTTTGGTATGGTCTTAATGAAGAAAAATCCAATTGTTACTGCCAAGATTTCTTCTATTTTAAGGTCATCAGGGAAAAACAATCTTAAATATGTATACACTGGCATAATTAAAGCTTTTAATTGAAGATTTTAAATTTGTTTGAAAAACGACTCAGACCCAACATTGCCAAGGATTGTCTTTAAACCGTACCACTTTAACCAGAAAGTCTTATAACGAATGCAAACAGCATAAAACAAATGTTCGTCATATTCACATGAAAACTAGATTTAATAATACCTACAATGTGGTTTTGGCGAGATTTTTAAACTTTGCCAACTTTTTATTATATATGCTTGGTTACATTGCTTGCTCAAATGCATTTTGAGGCAACAGATGTTTCATTCTCAACAGACTGAATGAGGATAAACATTGCCCCTATGTTCCTATGAATTATAATCAATACTTTCACCACTAGAAAAGCCTGCGATCTAAAAAAAAAATCGAAAATTTATTAAATAAACTTTAAAAAACTAAAAAAAATTCTATGCCATTGTGGACTATAATTTTAACTTGCCTCGACAGGCGACAGCATTTAAGACCAATTTTAAGGGAGTTGACAACTATCACGTAACATAGTTTGTCATAATTCAATCAATGGAATGACATACTTGAATTTCCCTTACAGAAAAAGTAGTACAAATTTTGTTTAATAAAGAAATACGTCGTTTTCCCACTAATTCTAGCGATCCTCTTTTTGCCCAAGACAAAAAATTGTTAACATGTGCAATACTTTCAAAATTTATGCTTAAAGCATTTTTTCAATGTCCTTATGAAGTACGCATATTAGCCAAGGAGACGATATATTATGCGTATGCGTATAGGGGAGAAGAGTATCGTGAAAAAAATGGCCAGATGCAACGGTGGGAATCGAACTCGCGACCGTTTAGTGTTAGATAATGCAACACTAATGCAATCTATAGTTGCCAGTCCTTGACAATGTTGGTACTGAGTTGGTCCTCAAAGAAATTTAAAACTATAAAAAACTTAATTATGTTAATGTGTAGACATAGTTAAGATTGTTTTGCCCAGATGATGATAAAATAGGTCGAAAGCTTGGCACTTGTCAGTAACAATTGAATTTGTTCTTTCGTCCAGACCATACCAAGATCCAGATTGTATACGTTTTTAAAATTTATTCACCAAAATATGTTACAATGGCGAAAGTCCTAAACTTACCTGACTAAAACATACACGAACGCGATAAAAGTCATAATACAGGCTGATCACTCATCGATCAGTATTGTCAATTACAAATTATTCTTGCTTTGTTTTCTTTTTTTTTAACAAAAAATTTATTTAATAGCCCAATCTCTCACAATTTTGACGGTGTTTCTCATACGACCAATCAACTGCATTCAGCTTATCCCACCAAATGTGGGACCGCCTTTTATATTCCACGATAGAGACTCGAGGTCATAGCAGTCACGCTTGTCTCTCTCACTCTTTCCCGCACATGAACATACATTTCTCACTCACTCCTTCCTACCTCCCTCTTTATAAACCACCTCTTCTTTCGTTATTGAATTACATAAGAATTCATTTATCCCCTCTCTAGCAGTTACAGAATTCCCTCGGCTCAAACAGTCACAAAGGGAAGAAGTGTGATTTGTCAAAAAATAACATCTCTTTTTCACAGATTTTATTATTGTTTCTTCTTTCTTTTAACAAACTACGAGGTTATATGAACCCTCGGAGTGTCGGTGTTTTTGAAAAAAGTGTTTGTGTAAGTATGATTTGAACATGGGATCTTTACAGTGATGAGACACCATGTCAACGCCTTAACCGTTGCGGTTAAGTACCAACACCGGTTTTTATTATCCAAAGAATAGGTTCAGGCCTATATGGTCTTGCAGATCCTCTCTAGCTAATGTTCTACTTTTTCATTACCCAAAATTCCTTTTGTATCCTGATACCCAAGATACCTTCAGGTTGAGAGATTATGGATGCATTCTCAGACTAATTTTGATGTGATGTTTTTTACATGTCATTGCTTTAAACAGCTTTTGGCTGACCGACTCTTTTAAGCATTTCCAAGGCACATTGATTGTATGTATTTCAGCTTGAAATACCGACGTGTACTTTCCTAATGAGTATGAATGCCCATGATTTGGGCTTGTAAGAAAGAAAAAAGAACGCATCGCATGCGGATTTTCATGTTTTGGAGCCAATACTTGTCATTGTACATATCTGATGTTCTACTGAATTCTTCTTCTCCTTTGTAGTTCGATGTTATCTTGATGCCCTCCCTTCATTCAAACCAATAAATTCACACGCAGTAAAAATCACGCATCAGTTAATCTAATTGGTTTGACAGGCCTCTGGGGACTCGATATTCCATTCACGCAAATAAATGCGTTCACACAATTGGGTTGTTACTAAGGTTTTTTATATTACGACGACTATCTCCGCTATCACACCGGAATATGAAATTAAATATCCTAGACCACTTTGGGTGTTTGTCGGTACTCGATTGTCCATCACAAACAGATCCGAACATACAGTAACGTTCCCGCTAATAACAATAAAAATTTATTATTATTAACGAGTAATCATTTGACACGCGTTTTTGCCAATCGTCCAAATTCTAATCAGAAAACAGAATCATAAATACAAACATTGTGATTATTCACATAATTAAGTAACGAAGTTGGTATAGACGATTTAGGAAAGAAATGATTCGCTTTACAAAGTATCTTAGTCATAAACTATTAATTTATAGGATCATCGGTCTTTTAGGTTATACTAACCGTTATTTGTACAAGTCTCATTTGATTCTATCATCGAAATATTATCCAAACAATCCTAACAAAGGGCCATTTTCGTACAGAAAGCATCCATATAATAACATACATAAGTATATACAAAAGGTAATTGTCCATCGTTATCGGTCTAGCCCAAATGCCAACAAAAATGTCTTTTACAAAAAATCATTCGGTTTAGGAAAGAAAATATGTCCCATAAATAAGTCTATATTTACATATAGTAGATTACTGTAATCTTTAATTAGCCATTGCATTTACAACTAACTTCGTTAATTCAGTAATATAATAAGGAAGCCTATTCACCTGGCAGACACAAATGTACAGATCACGTCCTCTACAGGACAACAGAAAGTTCAATAAAACGCTTTGTCCCTACAAACGTGACTTAAGGTCTTGCAGTACTGTGTGGTGATAAGTGACCGTTAATCAATATTTATTTAGAAATCGTGAGATGCGGTCTGGTGTGATGTAGGTTTCAGAAAAACATTTTCTTTATCGTGCCAACGTTTCGATCTTTATTGAGATCATCTTCAGGGCTCAAAGTGTGTGCCTTTGGCACTCTCGACACGACACGCAAGAATGACACAATTACGCAGAAGACAAACACTTTGAGCCCTGAAGATGATCTCAATAAAGATCGAAACGTGGGCACGATAAAGAAAATGTTTTTCTGAAACCTACATCACAACAGACCGCATCTCACGATTTCTAAATAAAAGTCTTGCAGTACATTCGATTTCGGACCTTTTTTTTCTTTATCACCTCAACATACTTGAAGCAATTATAGAATTGTTGAATATGTACAGATTCATTCGTACAGGTGTGATTTATAGTGATAGTGAATACTGAAAGGAAAGGTCAATCGTTTGTAGATGTGAAATTTTGTGAACGGTGTCCAACAGATAAACGGATGAATTGGTCCATTGTAAATGGGCATATACGACCAACTGTGAATTTAGAAAATTTTGAAAAAAAATTCTTTCTCCTTACCTTTGCCGTGTGGTGGCAATCGCCTCATCTCTGCTTTCCCCGTTTCGGCGGGTTCTTCAGGCTCTTCTTGTTTTTTACCCTCTTTTTCTTCCCCTTCTTTATCTTCCCCCCCTTTCTCCTCGCTCTCTTCCTCTTGCTTCACACTCTCTGAGAAAGAAGGAAGACATTCGAATTAGACAGGCGAAACAGAAATGAAAACATCTACACAACAGCACAATTAGAATGTCGTTTCGCTCTGGTTTCGGTCGGTGGGACTTTGTTTACATACAAAGGGTCGGGAAAGGATAGGACTCGGGAGTGGGCCAAGGTGTTTTAAAATGTTATTTATATATTTTGTCATTGCATGGGTACGTACGGTTTTGTCTCAATGGGTATTTTCGCATTTTACGCGCCAGTTTCATTATAAATTTGTCTGTATTTCTTTGAGAGAGGAAATTTTTAGACGTTGATATTGGAGCGAGCGCTAGGCTTTCGGTAAACTGAGTCTTGTTTTCGAGAGAGGCGAAACGAGGCGGAGCCAGGGTCTCAGTTCTACGCATCCTCTGATCCCGAGGGGAGCGGCGGGCCCCGACCACCCCTGGAAATGGGAGGAATCCACTCGGCCCAATCCACAGAATGAACACCACCGGACGACCTCCTGGAGGCGTGGTTACGCGTACCAATTGCCACATTTTCAAAACGGATCCCTCGACGAGAACTCAGTCTTCCCTCGGAAACCACGTGCGACAAGTTAAACGCAGTGTCTTCTTCGCCTTTCCTCGCCCCCCACGACAAACCGCGATATAGTAACTAATCCCACACAGAAGGAAAAACTTACAACTATCACAAATTGATATTTTTTCAACAGGCTTATCTCTCCATTATGAATATTTATTAATAAAAGCAAGAATTCGTATTACTGATTCCTTACATTTTCTTTTTTTATTTACCACCTCACTCATTGGGAGTAAATAGGTTCAATTTTCTCAACTCGGAAACCAATTCGAATAACTGCCAAATGGGGTAAGTCTTAGGAGTCAACTGAAGATTCTTGAAACATTTTATGTACGTTTAATTCGATCGGTTTGGTTACATCTGGTTTCCTCCAGGCGTATTGTATTCTATTTATTAAATTTAATCTATATTATTCTACCCTCTTATGTTGCAATTCTCGTGAATAACAATATCATGCAAATAATACCAACGAATGTGCTATTAAAATTAATAAAAACAACACGATCGCGATGCTTTCCACTGTTTCCATTATTTTACCAAAACGAAATAAACCTATTGGCACTATTATACTTTTAAAATAAGAACTCATACATGTAATGCATTATTAAGGGAATAAAACTATTTTTCTGAATACCATAAAAATACCGTCACGTAATATTAATCTACTAAAAAAATACTTTGCTGATTTTCTACCATGAAAACACTGACAAGAAATCTTAACCTACTAAAAAATACTACTTTATGCTTACAATTATTAACACTATTCTTAAATTATTGACACCGAAACAAACGAATATTTTTATCAGACGTGTATGATGGTGTATAAGATATTTTCCTAATTTCTTCTTTTTTTTTAATTCTTTCTGTTAACCATTATGCTTTAGGCTGTTGTTTTATTTAAGCCACAATAGAACGTACATATTTTTTATTTTATGATTTTATATATTGCGTTTTGTGTTTTTCGTTTTGCTATGAGCATGAGCACAAAGGCTAACTAAACATAAAAAAAAAAATTTAAAGAATATACCTTCTAATGTGGCTTACAAAATAAAAAACCACAAAAATAAGTAGTAAAAAGATATAAAATTATCGCCATTTAATCAAAAACGTCACAGTAAATTTATTATTTCCTTTGAACTCGTATTGAGATATGCTATTTGTATATTTCGGATTATCTACAATACACACAGAAAATATAATTTTAAAAAAGGTTAAACTTAATTACAAGGCACTTAAACATGGCAAAATATTTAAATTGGTAAAAACAAGAAGCGTATGCTTTGTATGTTTAACAAAAAATATGCATACACAGGGTGCCTTCCTTTTTAGAAGACCCGGCTGAATTTCATTTCATCAGATAACGTCATCGAAAAGCAAAAATATGTATTTAATAATTTTAGTCTAGTTTTCAGTTTTTAATGTACGTTTTTTAAAGATATTTGTTGTATATAATACATTTATATTGAAATTCAATCTTCTGGTTGAATATAACACATATACAGTTGTACGTATACAAATGAAGCAAAAAAATATGTTTGTTGTCAGGATACTGCCGACTATGACATTTTAAATGAGAACATGTATATATACTTTTTTAAAGGATTTTTTTTACACTGAAAACGATGGCCCAATAAGATTTTAAATTGGCCAAAGAATGTGAAAAGAAACGCATTAATTTCGTTTTTGTTATTATTTTCAATAACAAATTTGTTTGTTAATTTTAATAAAAATTGTATGCTTTTTATTAATAGATCATTGTTAACAATAATGCCGCGTGAAAAACATAAAATTTTATGTAAAAACTAAAACGGACACCCTGCCTTGTACTGGAAAATTACATAGGACTGATTCTTACTTCCGTTTTTAGAAAGATTTTCATATCTGCAGAAAATATAATCAATTTTAATTATGTACATTTTGGCTAATCAATCGAACAAAAATTTAGTTTAAATTTTAAAAAAAGTTGGGAAACTAATTTATCCGATTAGAAGTTAATTATGTTGCCGCTTTCAAATAATAAAAAAATTACCTAAAAGGTGAATAGTTAACCTTTTGTTTTTGTTTGATTCCGCAAAAATATTGTTGGTTCAATTTAAAGGAATAATTTTCCAAAAACTGGGTTAATTGGTTTTCTAAATACATATTACTCTGGTGGCGATAAAGCATCTACTTAAAAAAATATATATTTAAAAAATCCTAGACCTATGTAGAAACCGTGACATATTCGCTTATTTTACTTCTATATAATACATATAATACTAAAATTGAATAAATAAAACCTCATTTTAATCTATTCCAATTAGATCCACGTTATAAATGTCCGCAGTTTATTGAAGAAATACAATTTTTTGGTTTGAAGTTAAAATTAGAACAAAAACTGTTAGGGGCTTAGGGGCTCGGATTTTGGTTGTTCTAAAAAATATATCATGTTAATGTTACAAAATTTACACATAAACAGTAAAAAAAGAAGCAAATGCAAAACTATTTTTGAAATTTGGAGGGGGGACTGTATTCTTTGGGTCAATATTTATGGGGTTATGGGGGAGGGGCAAAAAAAAGAGGTGGAACGTCCTTCCTCCGGCCACCTCCCATGGTTTATTTTACTATTATGCAGTGATGAATATACTTGTTGTTTCCGCTTATTTTGGCCCGCCTATCCTGTTTTGGTTTGGCTTGGCTAGGGATATAAACAGGGAGAAGCACAGAATCAAGCCCATGACCATCAGTGCAGGGTTTGTGTACTTAATCGTTGAAATTGCTTGTGATCTGCAAGTTGATGGGACATGAAGCTTGGTGGTTTTTGATTAATTTAATACCAATCCTAATTGTTTTACGTGTAATTGTAGTTCAAGAGGAAGTGGCATTGAATCAAATTTTAATTCACTGCATTGAAATATGCAAAGTAGCAGACAAAGAATAATTTATTTACTTGTACTGCACTAGTAACATGACAAAACTTTGTCTATGTACTTCCTATGATCATAAGGAAAACGTCTAAAAAAATCTGATCGAAATCGGACGAGTAGATTTCGAGTTTACCTCGTACATGCAAACTTTTTCTATTTATTATATTAGTATAGATTACTTTTAAATTTTTTTACTCGGTTTTCGTTTATGCACAAATTGTGCACATATTATATGGCAAAAAAGGAAACGAATGCAAAATTATTTTTGAAATGGGGGGGCTGTATTCTTTGGGTCAATATTTATGACGTGGTGAATATTTATGGGGGGGGGACAAAAAAGAGGAGGAACGTTCTTGCTCCTGCCAACTCCCATGGTCTATTTTACTATTACGTACAATTATTAAAATATTAATTATAAATTCAGTTATATTAGTAAATTAAGCATCACTGTAGTGATCGACAACCAATTGTTAATTGTAGAAGTGAATCAAGGATGAGGTCCATTGTTGTTTTTTGTCTATTATTTTCAAAAAGTTTATCTATTAGTTTATTGCATTTATTTTGCACATTTAAAGTTGGATCAGATTTCCTTGATGCATACGTGTTACTGTTTGATAGTAATTTATAAATTTCTTCTTCTTAGAGAGATCTACTAAACACTATGTTCATTCCTTTTGTTTGGTTTTTGCTTAATTAGTTCTTTATTACGTCTAATGATGAAATTGAGGGATGACCATATCCCTGATTCACTTCCTTAATTACTTTATTATTATTATTATTTACATTCCAACGAACCCACCCTGACCGTGTTATTCATCCACCGTTCCAGTCAACTACCCGAAACACCCCACCACATAACGGAAAGTCCGTCATGTTTCAGGTTTTTTCAATTATACACAGGCACGAGCGGAATGCCGAGGGCAAATGGGTTACCCTGTTAGGAGGAAGAAAACCAGAGTTCCAAATTTCTCCGGTGCAGCTAAAAATATAATCCAAAAATCCTAAAATTTAAAAACTACACAAGCAATATTATTTATTTGTTTCGAGTTGGCGCAACATAAAAACGTTACCCGTGTATAGTGTTTAACCTTTAATGCATTAACCTTTAATGCATTTTAAAAAAATCCGTTTGATATATGCATTTTACTATGCATTTTACAAATTTTACGTCATTCACTTTCATCACCAAAACAAATATGCATCCGAGCACCATTCATTTTAAAATAGCTGAATATATTTACGGTTTGTTAGTGAGAATGATTCCTTATACATTTTATACAGCGTACAACATCAACAAGGGAGATTAGAATTAGAATTTTATAACTACATCACTTTATTCAAGTCAATGATAGTTTTAAAATTTACAGATATTAAAGTTTAGTAGAAGGATTCGACTCCTTGGCTCTATATAGAGAGCGTGTAGAAATACCATCGTACTTGGCAGTGAGGATGTAGGTTGATATTCGATTTTTCGAGAAAACAAGTCTGTTTTATTGTGTACAGTACTTATATTTTTCTATCCCTAGCGCGTGTTGTCTGTGAATGTATTTATTAGAGTGAGAGGGCTTTGGCGAAATATTGAGTACTCAATGGTAAATAAATGGCATGTAAATGGTAAACAGGAATGAATGTGTTTAAGAATGAGTGGGATTATGAATGGGTTTGGATCTAGGAACTGTATGCGTTGGTAGCTTGAAGTAGCTTTTGATAGCTTCTGAGCCCAACCTCGGTGGCTGTAGAGATAAGACCGAGGTCTAACCCCGGTCTGCCGATATCCAGGGGTGATTATCGAGACCTGCTGGTAATTAATTGTAAATTACAAAAGCTGGGATTGCCGGTGGACTGAGAGAAGTGATAGGCTTAACTCGTGTGTGTATATGTGTGCATATATGTCCACCCCAAAGTTTAGTGCGTCCCATTTGACTATGATACCGTGTAATATAAATATAATTGGAAAGCTTTTCCCAAGTGTATAAAAATATTATTGAGTACATTTTGATACTCTTGGATGGAACGGTGAACCGAAAGCAACCATAATTCGGAAATGTACATTTTTAAATTTTATTTGTGGTATTTTTCGTAGAATATCATAAAAATACAATTGAATGTACTTTCAATCATCGTGGGTATATCAACCAACAGATTTTTTTTTTTTTTTTTGAGCATACATCTTAAGATGTGGTCAATGTTAGAACATGTGTTATATAAGTGCCAAGCTTTGGACCTCTTTATTTGGCCTTC